CTCCCTTTGAACTATATTTTGAACATATTATTTAGAAAAAAAATTGAACATTTAACGTTATTGCATAAATATTTTGAGCAATTGAGCATTAATTAGCATGACCGCCCACAAGGCCAATTGACGTGGCCCATTCTACAATTTAAAGCTGTTAAATTGAAAGATCACAATTGCCACTTAGCCAATTAGCGATCCAATTTATTGGGCCAAATCTTGTTGAATCTCGCACGACATGGCCCAATACTTATATCATTTAAAACTTTGCCATTAAATGTTCAGTATACTAGCGTCACCAAATGGCTTTAAATTCCATCAAATAATGTTACCAAATTAAAATGGCTCTAAATTCCAGCACATAATGTTACCAAATTGAAGACAAGGAATGTTTGTCAAAAATTAAAAGAAGACGAGAGAATGTATTGTGCGAGTTTGGACTCGAACTCATGGTGACCGGTGAGACAAATATATATGTTAATCGAACATTTTATAAAAGTTTTGAACATCTCGACTTTAGAAATTTAGATACAAGTTTGTTGACATTTTATGTTAGTTTTTGTAAAGTTCTTACAAGTTATTGGATATACACATCAGTATTTGGGTGGCTTGACTTACTGGGAAACAAACTCACCCAATACTGTTCACAAATGAGGTAGACTATAATTAACCTTAAGTTTAGGTATCGTCCAAATCCTAACACTTTGATCAGATATTATGCTCTTTCCGTTCTTTAAATACTTGCAACATTTGATTCTTTCATCCGTGTTTTGAATAATTTTAGTATAAGACCACTATTATTTTATGGTCTCTCTCACTAACCCCACATGCACTATTCTTTATTGCTCCTTTAATCTTCTCATTTTCATTTTCTTTAAACCATGTGTGTTCATGAGTAGAGAAAGCACCCCTCCGTCCCTATTTGTTATATGTTTTGGGAATACATCTAAAAACTTTAACCACAATTCATTACTAATCTATAAACAGTGAATTGAGATCTTGTTGGATCATTACAATATCTAGGGGTGAAAGTTCGGTATGCAATGCTTATAGCCCAAACCCGAAACCAAACCATATTAAGTTTGTTTTGGGATTTTTCAAACCACACCGCACCATATTACTATTGAAACCAAACCAAGCCAAACCACACTGATATGTCCATTTTATATAGTGATTTGCCCCCGTCTCTTGGTCATATTTAGTTATATTTTTGGCTCTACGGAGCTATTTTTATTACTAGTATGCGTTTTTTAGTGTTTTCGTAGCTTTGGTATTGTTTTATAGAAAATTGCAGATTTGGAGCATTTTCTCGCACTTATTTGAGCCACTACGAGCATTGGATGAGGATTGCATTCATATAACATTTTTGTAGCCCAAGACCGCGTTGGAACAATCAAACCGATAATTAAAGGCTTGGCGAAGAAGAAGAGACCGAGGCAATGGATCGAGTTTTCAAGACCCAAAGAGGAAATCCGGATTGGGCTATGAAGGAGCCCAATCGAAGAGTTCATGGAGCCTAGAAGCTCACTCGACTGGGGAGTGCCCTCGCCCTGAGGCGCTCCCGGCCGGGCGAGGAAGTTAGTAAAGAAGGCTCTTCACCCGGAGGCGCGCCTTGCCGGGCCCGAGAAGAGGAAGTCAGCACCAAAAGGCGGGCCCGGCCGGGCGGTCAGGCTCCTGACCGGGCGCGTGTTATTGCTAATGTTTTGAGACTTTTAATCTTCGTTTAGTCTTAGGATTTTCTTAGCTTAGTATAAATACGCTTTTGTTAAGCAAGACAATTACGTCATTCATCAGTTAATTTCCAGATTTTAATTTTAAGCTTTTGATTAATACTCTTGTTCTCTCAACTCTTTTGGTTTAAATATTTCCGCATATTTTGGTAACGATACCTCTCCCTTTTATTTTCAGTAATTTAATTGCTTGATTAATCATGTCTTGCTTTATTGCTTTGCTTAGCTTAGATTTCAATATGTGTGAGTAGTTTATTTTCTAGGGTTCGTGGGGATCCATAAATAATATGAAGGGGTAATTTATTATTGTTGATTGTCAATGCTTTGATTGATTTCCTATTGATTGATTTACTGCTATGTAATTAGATTAGGCCTGGTTTAATTGTATGAGCTATGCAATATTGATTCGAGATTCGACAGATGAGAATTGATGTTTAGGCTTAGTTTCAATAGGCAGGTTAATTTATAAATGGTTAAGTCAAGATTCGAGAAATGTGATTTAATACCGCTAAATTAATTATGTGATTGTAATACGTAGCGAAAGCCCTTTATGATCTGATTGATTGATGCATTGATGATTGATTTTTGTGTTTTACCCTGGAATATTATTTATTGGTGAACCTATACCCTAGGTTTTGATTTATTGATTTCCCCTTAATTTTATTTGCTTTAGTTATCTATTCTCCTTAGCTTAGTTCTCACAAAAACAACTTCGTTACTTGATAATTTAGGTTATATTATTTATTTAGGAATAGAAAGACATGTTTCCCTGTGGATTCGACCTTACTTCCCTATCTGCTTTAATAGAGGACTTAGGTAATTCTTTTGATTAGGTGATACGACTAGATCCTTTCACACACCATTTAAAATTTGTTTTTTTTTTTTAAAAAAAAAAAAAAAAAAAAACCGAACCACACCAAATTTTTTGGGCCTTAATTTGCAACCTTTTGTGAGCCTAATTACTCAAAATTTGTTTTTTGGGCTTGATTATCAGAATATAAAGCAAACAGATGTGAAATAGCAAAACATGCAATAACAAGTTCTAACTTCTGATGAAGTAATAGTGATAGTGACTAAGTCTTACAAGGCCTATAAATAGGCCAAACCAATCAACAGTTCAAAAAAAAAAAGAATTGTTCATCAACATAAACCAAACCAATCAGCAATTCAGCACAACAAGCTATGCATCAAAACAACAGGCAGTAGGCAGTAGGCAGCAGCTTAGCAAAACGTTTTTTTTTTTCCTTTTTTTGGCTTTTTATATGTAGGGTTGAATTCAGAATTGGGCTAGGCTATAATTTCGATATGGGCCGTAATTCGGTTTTTCAAATCTTGAAACCAAAACCAAACCGCAAATAGCAATCATTTTTTTCTCAAACCGCACCGAACCATAATAGAATAAAAAAAAAATAAATAAAAAAAATAAAAAACCCGCACCGCCTTTCTAATTCGGTTAAGTCCGATTCGGATTTAAACCACATTATTTTCACCCCTAACAATATCTACTTTAAAAATAACAAATTTATCCGAACGTGGGCATTTTTTTTATTTAAGTATTACACTCTCGTAACATGACAAATTTTTAAGTGTTACATTTTTATTTTTAGCAAACCTCACCATTTACATAGTAATATCACTTTCGTATATCTTTCTTTTTGCATGGTCCCCACTCCCCACTTTAACTCACAACTAATTTTTTTTATTTATAATTATTTTTTTCCCATTTCACATCCCTTACTTTTCAATAAATATTAACCACACTATCTATTTTATCTATTTATAATTAGTTTTTGCCCCGTGCAATGCACGAATTCATAATATTAAGACTTGTAAGTAATAGATGTATTTAAAATGAAGTTAGTTTAAATGAAATGACTTATATAACATAAATTTTTTAAATTTAAAATTATTTAATGTCTACCCTTAAAAAATCTCTTCTTACATATATAATTTAAATATATATTATTTAAAATATTTTTTATAAATTATTGTAAGTTTTTATTCAGTACTTTTTTTTTATTTTTTATCATGTTATTTAATTCTTAAGGAAAAAAGGGAAAAAATAAAAATAAAATTTGGCGGGAAAATTTTTGTTGTGAATCTGACACGTGGACTTCATAGATAACTCTGGTGATTAATATAGTGTATAGTATAGATAGCTTTTTTAATAATCAAAATACCCCACTTATATCATTTTATATTTAATTTACTTAAAACTATGTGACATGTACTTTTTTTTTTTTTTTTTGGACAAGATATGTGACATGTACTCGATAACTACCACTTACTACAGTTCACTTTTTAATAATTACCACCAACAATTTTTATTTTATTTTACCACCAACAGTTTTTAAAACATCAAAATTTATCACCTCTTTGCATAAATCCTATTGAATGACATCACTTTGGGCCCCATTCCTTACTCTTCCCTATTTTTTTCTCCTTCTTTTCACGATTTTCCATTACTCTCTTAAATTTGGGAAAAACCTAAAATCGAAAAGAGAAAATAAAAATTAGGGTTTCAAAAATCATTCTCCTAGCTTCAATACTCGAATGCAATTGAGGAAAAAGAAATGTATTGTTGTTTTATACTTTTGGAAACTTAATTTGGGGATTTTGAATCAAATTGGGAGTTTGATTATAGATAGACTTTCGGGAAAAGTAACTTAAATTTCATGTTATGATTAAAAAAATTATGGTTGTCATTTAAAGAAATCGAGAGAAAATGGAAGAAATGAGTGAAATTGAAGGGAATAACATATCGTTTGGGCAAACTAGCTGTAAAATTTAAGGTTTTGAACAATTGTTAGTGTTAAAATAGAAATAAAATAAAATTGTGAACTATAGTAGGTGGTAATCATCAAATATTTTTACTTCGTATATTTTAAGTTGTATCACAAATAATACGAGTACCAAACAATTAGAGACAGAGGAAATATCGACTATCCCGTCGTTATCACAGTATCCCGTGACTATGTACAGTATCTTGGAAAAGTATTGGCGCATAGCACCTATGTGCTTAGAAAGTGGATAGGATGCACTGGTTTTCTAGTGGTACAATTCAAAGTACAAAACGTACGTACCATTTTGATTAAATGTACCAATGTGATTTCAGTGGTACATTTTCGGAGTATTAAATGTACCACTAGCACAGTTAATTGGAATATTCAAGTTTTCTAATGCCTGATAAATTACGCTTCTACCCTCCTACACACTTAATTTGTCAATAGGTGTTATGCACTGATATGCAGTCCAATATCTTTTATTAGTACAAATCAAAGTTGCCAATTTGGACCATTAAGCAAAAGCAAATACAGCACTCTTTAAAATCTACCAATAATCCCAGAGACCCAGAAATCAACTATCTACTTGAGTCCCAGTAATCCCACACACCAATTCTTCTACTACGTATAAACAACTCAATACATTTAGAAAATAATTTGGGCTTGAACCTCAAATTTCACATCCATAAAAAATGGTGAAAGCTTCAGACATGGTACTTACAGCATCAACAATTGCTGCTCTTTCAACCCTTTTAGTTCTTTTTCTTCCTCGTTTTCTCTCTCCTCCATCTCTTTCTCTCTCTACCCCTTCTCATGACGTTCTTCATCGGGCCCAGCCCATCAAAGTCCCAGGTGCTTTTGGGCCCGAGAGCCTGGCCTTTGACCCATCTGGTGCGGGTCCTTACACTAGTGTTGCTGATGGTCGGATCCTTAAGTGGGACCCCAATTCTAGTTCTTGGGTCGATTTTGCTTTCACCTCTTCTTCCAGGTATTATTCTGTATTGTATAAGTAGTATGCTGTTTCGGAATAGTGATCGTTTATCGGTTTTGATATATGCGGTCCTAAGGGCTACGGATTATTTATTTACTCTGTATTATTTGGATTTTTTTTTTATTGGCTGAAGTTTGTACTAGTTGTAACAAATTTATGAAATTTGACTGTCATTTTAATTTATTGCTAGAACTAAATGAACCCGTGATGTGTTGTTGAGAAAAAATATTGAGAAACTTTCCATTTTTAAGGTACGAAGACCAATCAGGCAATCATGCATTAACATATGAACTCATGTGTTAAGAGATAGAGTTGTCACGTTACTAGTTTAAGATTTGATATGTAGTGACAATTTATATCAGGTGACAGAGTTTTATTTTTTTATTGACTAACGGAATCAATTAGGTGACTTCACTATGATATGTAGTGACAAAGTCACGAGTGTATTGTATACAACATGTTTTATAAACGCAAATCAAATAAATGTCACTACTTTGCAAAGTTGATTCTACGTAGACGAGTTGAGCTTGCATATGGTGGTGAATTTGAGTAGAGTTGAGCTTGATCAATAAACGTCTTAATGTAGAAAACTGTGATTTTGACCAAGGTGTACTAATGTTTGTTAATGGTACGATTTTAGTAATCATCACTTCGTCAGTGACAAATACTAATTACATACGAAGTATTAGTTAAAGCTGATGAAATTATATGGTCTGTGCAACTAATTATATTGCAAAGTCGATAACTTAAACCAACTGACTTGAGTATGAAACTAGTAGTACTTGGCTGAGATTCTGTTATTATTATCGGACTTAAAGAGCTGGAAAGGAGTATAAGATTATAGCAGTTGGCTTGGTAAGAATCAATGGGCATGAGCATGAGCATGAATGATATAAAGTAATTGAGCTAGTCCATGAATTTTTTTGGGGGGATGGAGCTGCACATGGCTAGGTAAGCATGTTCGTGAATGTCGAAAATGTTGGTAAAATAGTTATCCCGTTCCCAGGTTTCAGAATGAAAAGTCACTAGAATTTGTAAATTTATTCAATACAATGTAGCAATGAAGAGATATAGGTGCCACATTGAGCCAGTTGTTAAGAAATGCTTCAAATTTTTACTTGTGCTTAACCTATGATGTTAAACTCAACTCTTTCAATTTGTTCGTGAAGAATCTCAGCTAATTATTCATTCTTCTTTGATGTTTACGTGTATAAAGAAAGGACTGCAACCAGCCATTTGCACCAGAACTGGAGCATGTATGTGGAAGGCCATTAGGTCTGAGGTTTGAGCAGAAAACTGGAGATCTTTATATTGCTGATGCATACTTTGGCCTTCTAAGAGTTGGGCCTGAAGGTGGGTTGGCCTTGAAGGTGGTAACTGAGGCTGAAGGCATTCCCTTGCATTTCACCAATGACATGGACATTGATGGAGAAGATGATATCATCTACTTCACTGATTCGAGCACAAAGTTCCGCAGAAGGTATGTATTTTCTTAGATCATGCAATTTTTTGCATCATCAATTATGTTACTTGGGACTGAGGGATAAGGGATAAGTGTTTTAAAGTGACTAGGAGTGAACAATTTTTTTGGGTTGCAATTTTTCTCACTTCATCTTCTGTTCTTGACTGTTCAATATATTCTGTCTGCTAATCCTTGTTCTTATAAAGTGTTATGGAGATAGTTGGAGAAATCCCAATTCCAAACTCTCTGATATTGCTTAGATCCTTTCAGTGGAGAATGTGAATAGCTAACTCAGTTGGTAGAGACGTAGAGTTATTAGGATGCTGCCTAAATGCCTAAGATATGGGATTTGAAACCTGCTGATTTCATTAGCCTTATAGCCTTACTCCCTCCTCGTTCACTTAGGTTGTGTTTGGTTATGAGGGAAACTTTTTTAACTGAATTATGGTACATTGTGATGGAAATCCAATTCAAACTAGGTATCTCTATTATTGGGTCCTTGCTAGCAAAATTCGAATGAAATAAAGAAGAGAAATTGTCAAATTGAGTGGAGAAGAGGAGGAAAATAAGGGACGGGGAGGTTATTGTTAAAAATGACAAACTATTTTCACCCCTTAACAAACAAAACAGGGGAATATTGGAAAACTGGTTATGTGGAAAAGGTAAACCTTTTATCCAAAGACAACCTAAATGAAAACCTCCGGGGAGAGGGGTTATTGTTTGGCTTGCTCTTTTTTCTTAAGCTTCTTTCTGCTGAGACCTTTCGGGTCATTTGTCACATACTCACATCTAACATAGTGAGTGTGCAGTATTGTTTCATTTTCAGACATATCATCTCATCCCTTGTTTCTGTTGGTGTGACCAGAATTTCAATCTGTTGTACTCATATAACTACTGTGTTATTGTGTATAGTTCGTTCCTCTCGCTAAAAGATGTACTCTCAGATTAATAGGCCACATATGATTTTGGGGTATGTTTTAAGGAATTTAGCTAAATGACCTTTTTTCACTGTAAATATAATTCCACTGTACCAATGTGATCTTTCCAAAGAATTCTTATTAAGAAATCATGAATGGGAAATATGGGAAAGTTGATTAAACTTACTTCGTAAGTAAGCTAGAAAGCAGCCTTATAGCTTCATTATTTGAGAATTATTACAAACCGTTCTTTGTTTTGCAGGCACTTCATACCATCAATTCTAAGTGGAGACAAGACAGGCAGATTCATCAAGTACAACATAGCATCCAAAGAAGTAACTGTCCTACTACGTGACATCGCCTTTGCAAATGGAGTTTCTTTGAGCAAAGACCGTTCATTTGTGCTAATAGCAGAAACTGGCACCTGCAAAATCTTAAGGTACTGGCTTCAGGGTCCAAAAGCAGGACAAGTTGAAACTTACACAGATTTGCCTGGATATCCTGACAATATAAGAAGAAACTCGAAGGGTGAGTTTTGGGTTGGTTTACACGCCAAGAAAACTCCTTTGGCTGATTGGCTTCTTAGAAACACTTGGGTTGGAAATACATTGCTTAAGATCCCGCTTAGCTTTGTACAACAACTGCATGCTTTGTTCGTGGGAGGGCACCATGGTATTGTGGTGAAGCTGATTGAAGAAGGACAGGTTGTCGAGGTTTTGGAAGATACTCAAGGGAAGCAAGTGAGGTATGCTAGTGAAGTTGAGGAGAGAGATGGAAAGTTATGGATAGGTTCTCCTATTACACCTTCTGCTTGGGTTTACGATTTGGATTAATGAACTAACCGAAGTACTGTTTCTGTGCATATGATGTAGAGATTAGGAGACAGTACCAGTTATAATAAAGAGTGCCAGGATCATCACTTGTGTATCCTTATTCTTCAAAATTGTACTTCTGTCGGATTAAGTGATCATATTATTAGTTCAAATTAATGCAGAGTTATAACTAGGGTCAGCTGATCAAGAAGTATAAGATGTTACTGTTCTATAAAGAAGATGCCTAAATCGAAGGAAACAGCAGACATGGACATTCAGGTCTGGTAATCAATTGAAGTAACCAGTGAGTGAAAATTGATCAGCTATATTGCTCGGACTATATATAGTTCCCCTACCTTGGGGATGGCAATTCAAACCGAGTTCGATTCGAATCCGATTCGATCCGAAGAAAAAAAATCCGATCCGAAACCGTTTAAATTTAGTCCGAATCTGATAAAATAATCCGAATCCGAATAGGAGGTGGATTGGACTTGGACCCTACGCAAAGTCCGACCGAGTCCGACCCGAGTCCGAGTTTGAGAATATGAGCACATGCTTTACAACTTTTGACAATTGCTTGCTTGTTTTGTAGTAAAATTTTGTTATGCAACTTAGTTCATATTTTAAATATGTTATGTTTATACTTTACTCGGTATGACAATACACGCAATTATAACTATATATATATATATATATATATATATATATATATATATATATATATATATATATATATATATATATATATATATATTATATATATATTTGGATCATTTCGGATGTCCAAATAAACGGATCGGATTTGGATCCGAAAATTACGAGTCGGATCGGACTCGGATTCGGATTTTTCGAATTCGGATCGGAATCTAGGGTCCGTTTACTAAACGAATCGGATTCGAATTTAGCCGCATCCGACCCGAATCCGATCTGTTGCTATTCCTAGTGGCCTACCCATGTTCGATATGGGTATGTGTCTATATGCCCAACTCAATTATTATGTGATATGGGTATGTGTCCAAGTCCCCTCACTTGAGATAAAATGCAGAGTCTATAAGTATCAATCATGTATGGAACAATCACTGATCACATAATTATAACGTTCTAAATCGCTAAATGTAAAGTACTAAACACTAATTTATCGCAAACTATTAAAAGCAATAGATTATAAGATTGAATCATAAGAATGTAGCGAAGAGGAATGGTGTAAATTGCTATTCCAAACATCTATACTTTTAGTACACTACTATAATACAAACCAGTAGTGCTATATGTCACACTCACCATTTAACTTGGTTTTTTTTATTAAACATTTATATTACTACGTAAAATTATCAATAAAGGTAATTGATTACATGTAATCAACATTATTTTTTTCACATTCCCATTAACTTAACTATAAATTATACAAGTATAACGTTAAGTGGTTAAAGACTTTAGGAACGTAACTTGGATAATTTTTTTTTTATTTTTTTTTTGGAATAACGTAACTTGCATAATTTAAGTAACAAACTGAGGTGTTTCATTTTTTTAAAAACACACTTCAAGAAAAATAATTTATAAGAAATAACCCGTGCATCAAATGAGTTAAAAGGCTAGTTTAAGACAAAAGAGATCCACTAAGAGTAAAGAATAAATATAAACTATGAATATTATGCTAACCTTGCAAGATAAATAGTTTACTGTCTTTCACTCTCTATTGATAGAGTTTTGGGTCTAAAGACTTTGGACCCAAACTTTTTTTTTTGTAAAGAAGTCTCTAAAGACATTAAATTTCATTAATGAAAGTCACACGACATCTACAATTGACAATTAACGATAATAAAAATCAAATAAGAATTAACCGGGGAATGGCTAAGAATCCAAATACATAAATATAACAATTTGGCACATTCTCGATTCGTTGTCTCATACAACTTTTTTGAGTGGATCCGTCGCCGCTTCATAATTTGATTGTAAGAGAGAAAATTCTTGTGCTGATTTCGTAACTCGAATCCGAACAATAATCAATCGTAGCCCCGCACAACCAAAGACCATATTAAGCGCAAATAAGACCTGGTCTTTCGAATGAGTTTGAAAAACCTTGTCTTTCGAAAAAGATCGAAAACTTTATCTTTCGAAGGAGATAAACCTTTTTTTTCGAGGGAGACATTATTATAACCTAAGAAACAACAAAAAAACGTAAAAGAAACAAAGATTGAGGCTTTTCACCGGTGAAATCCAATGGAAGCCCCTTTAAAATTAACAATGGAGGCTAGAGTTTGGGAGAGAGAAGAGAGGCTAGGGTTTTATTTTTTGAAAAAAATGACTTTGGACCCAGACTTAATTAACCTTAGACTTGAATCTGCCTTGAATCATTGTAGAGGTGATCATTAGGCGGGACGGGCGGGACGGGTCAAGATTGAAAAATAGCCCGTTTAATGGGTCGGGTCAAAAATTGTGTGCCCAAACTAATCGGGCCATATGGCTTTTCGAGCCATTTTCAGGCCGGGCCAAAAAAGGCAACTAAAATCGTATAAAACCCCATTCCCAAGCCCGCCCCCCAAAAAAATTAAAAATCGGGCCGGGCCGGAAAAATCTTCCCAAAATCAGGCCGGGCTCACTTTGATCAGGTCTATTGTCATTGGATCTAGGTCCTAAAAAAAGGTTAACTTCAAATAAAACAGGTTTGACCCATTATAATAAGGTTAACTTCAAATAATATGGGTCAATTCTTAAGGTCTATGACTCATTATCATCCCTACTTACATAGTGTTACTCACCTAAATGGTTAAATGTCACTTATCTTATACAAAGTACTTCGTATTATCTTATCTTAATTATTAGCTAAGAATTTAAATTAATGTTATTAAACGATTAAAATTTAATAAAACTTATTTATCTTATCTAGACTCAATAACCCTTATCTTATCTTATCTAAACTTATTAGTCATTACATTATCTTATCTGAACCGATTAGCTCTTATATTTTACCGAGCGTCATAAGGTGAAGAGAATATGGCCTTATTTAACATTTGATAAAATGACATTTTTAATTCTTATATATGATAAATTTGAAGAGAAAAATAAAGTACTTAAGTGTCAAAATTTTGAAACATTAAGATGAAATACACTTTCACTAGCATTACAATTTTGTTTTTTTTTTTATGGATTATGTTATAGCATTACATGCATACTTAAGGACCCACAATTTCCTAATAAGGTTGAAAGAATCATGACTATACTTGAGTATTCAAACTCTTGTATTTGGTAGTATCCGTTTGTTACACCAAATCTTATCACAAGAATATCATATTCCCTTTACATATCTTTTTTTCATGTACCCCAAATAAACCTTATTATATATTCTCGACCTCCGCCTTTCTCTTCTTTTCTCTCTTCTATATATTTTTCAACCAAAACTATAAAAAAACTTTATATTTGTATTATGACATAGTAGTAAATTATTTATTTATATGAAAAATGAAGCCAATAAAGTTTTTAACATCTTCTACAATTGTTCTTTTATGTGCCTTACTATTAACCACATATTTTCGTTCCAAAAACAAAAGTTATCCTGGTTCAAAATTTTCGGAGCTAGAGTTTCTACCTATAGAAGACGCTTTCGGGCCCGAAAGTCTCACGTTTGACCCTGCCGGAGATGGACCGTATGCGGGCTTATCCGATGGCCGGATTATAAAATGGGACCCCCATCAACGGCGTTGGGTGGACTTTGCCTTCACTTCTCCTCTAAGGTGTTTTAATTTCCTGCATCATATTATATTACTTATTCATTAATTAAGATTAGTGCATGTTATTAAGATTCTTTATGTTTCCTCTTTTCTGTTTATTACGAAGTATTTTATTTAAATTGCTAAAATCAATGCTAGTAATCCAATAGCTTGCATCATGAGAAATTGTAGAAATGATTAATTATTTAATTGTTTGTTAATGTCAATGTAAACAAATATTTTTTTATTTTTTTCCGTCAAATTTTTGAATGTGCATGAATAATTGAATAGGTAAAAATATGTTAAACAATACTAATAATAAAAAAAAAAAAATGATATGTGAACTTTTTTATTTATTTTTAATTCATTATAATCTTCAAAATGTTTCTAAGTTATCCTCAATTCCTCAAATACCCCATACACGTATAATAGGCATATCATGTTCATTAGTCATTTCACCACATAATGGTTGAAATTTTTGCCAACAAAAACTAATGTAGATAATAAAATTATTAATGCTAATTCAACTTCAACTTAACATTTGGCCTGCCCCACAATGACAATATTTTGTTTGTTGCCTTGTTGGATTGCTAAAATATCTATTAAAAGTGTGTGATATGAGATTCGTATTCTAATAAGACACAAATAGTTTCTAAAGTTACATAACGTGTTATTTTTAACTATTTCAAACAAAAATCAGATTTGGACTGGTGACGAAATCCTATTAAAATAACTTGAACACAACCCGAACATATCGAATGCATATGCCTAACCAAGTAACTGCCATCTACCCTATCCGTACGTGTTCATGATGAGTTCTGTTACATTGATAAGCATTGCTAATAGCTACACAATAGACACAGCAATTAGTTAAAGAGCCTCATCCTTTATTTTAGGTGCTTTTTGTCCATTCAATATCTACTTATTTATTACCAAAATTTCTGATGAATTACTCGTAACGTACAAAATATGTGACTTAAATCTCTATCTTGTTGGACATGTCTTTTATAATGTATGGGACACTTCCTCTTTTATTAATATGAAGTAGATGTTTTTAAGGTTTAGTATACATAGGAGCATTTAAGATCAAACCTACTGCCATTACTTTGGTGTCGAACTCTAACAAATACTTCGTATTTTATTATTAGTGATTCAAATTAACAGATTACATACTTGGTACAACACTACAACCTAGCTTAATTAAGTAGCTCCGTATAGTGTAATAGGTCGCATTAGTAATTACTTTGGTGTCGTACACTAACAAATACTCCGTATTATTCTACCAGTTATTAAAATTGATTGATAACATATTTTGTACAACCTAGCACCGTAATAGTATAATGGTTGTATTTAACTATAGTAGCGATCAAAACATATAAATTGACATTAGTTTGGTTCAAAATTATACTTGGTTATGAGGTGAAAGCAATCTTTTCAAATTTATATAAAGAGTTACTCCGTAAGCCTTACAGAGTATTTTTGAAACATTATATATCTATTCAATAACAAAAGCTAAAAAATGTGGTGTATTTATTAGGAACAAATAATCTCTCATTAATAGCGTAAAGCGATAGTACTAAAAATTGTGTGATTTGGGAAAACAAGTATAGATTAGTAAATTATTTTGAATTCTTGCTTGTTCAATTCAGAGGTTTTTTTAATTTTGGCGTAAGTAATTACCTACCTTTCTGTGGCTTGTAGGTTTATTATCTATAAGACTGTAGTAAATACTTCTAGAGTTCTAGGTAATAACACTTTGAGAAATGCGTACAATGATGTTTTAACTAGAGTGTTGGATCTATTTCCCTCTTTGGTCACTGATCTAATTTATTACGGAGTACTTTCTTTATTTCAACAAAGTTGTTGACACTTACATAGTTACATAGACGTAAAAGGAGGGGAAAGGGTAGGGGTACACTTGGTGTACAAGATTTCTTTGTACACCACTAATGAAATGTTGTCAACTCAACCAAGATAAGAAAGAAAGGAAAAGAAGGATGACCTACTTCAAAATAAGTTTCCCTTTCAACCAATAGGAAGCTTGGTGTACAAGATTTTTTCGTACACCAAGTGTACCCCTAGCATCTCTCAGCCTAAAAGAAGATATTGAGTATTATTTGTTAAATAAAAGTAGGTGTGATAGAATTTAATGATGTTTTTATTAATTGAATGTGAAAAACGAGAATATTGCATTTTGGTAGTGGAAAGAGAGAGATATATATAAAAAACATAATAGTATAATTTTTAGTAGGAGTACTTTTCCAAAATAATACTGTATTGTAAAAAAAGACGTCAAAACATAAGGATACCAAAAATTCATGAAAACTCAACTAACCATTAATATCTATGCCATCATGAATGTGATGTCTAGCTAATTTGCTTAATCTGGTGTTGGGCTAACAGTTAATTGAAAATCTTTCCTTTTTGATTGGGTTTTTGATAAGAATTATTTCATAGCTAGTGTCACACGCACTCACACAAACATTACACATTTACACTAATCTCTTTAGACTTAAGGATGTTTATTTTGCTTTCAATGATATTATTTACTTTTATGCATCTTCACCTACTAGGGTTGAAGAATGAAGAGTCGGGGAAAAAACTTCTTAGGTAGTGAATAGTTGTTCATAAGGATATTCTTTGTCGTATCAACTCCTTTTCACTTTCATCATTTTAAGGATGACTACCATAGAATTTTAACTCAAATCAAGTTTAGAACTAAATTGAATTGTAAATTACCTATGCTTAATTTCCACCCCGAATCTAGCTATGATCGGGTCAGTTACGAGCAATTTGGCTATGTTAAGTAGTACGAACTACTAAGTACATTATAAGTCTATTTTAAAGATTACATGTCAAAGGTTTTTAATTTAATAGGTTGTATACAATTTTAAACCCTTTTATGTTTAGCTGATGACTCCGAGTTTAGTACACGTGTTATGATTTTATGTTGTTGATGTCTATATTGATGTCAATATTTAGTCAAGTTTAATGATAACACTCTCTCTCTCTCATTGTATGGTTGCAATTTTTCCGCATGTATGAAAGCTACTCTTCGATGTCTTAGAACAGTACAAACATTAAATTGTACTTGTATTATCAAATGTATGTGATAAATTCCTATGTGATGTAGATCATTTGGGTGGGCCTAAACTTTGACCCGTTTTATTGGGTTGGTTGGTTGTTGTCTTTTAACAGGGAATTTTGTAAAAATCAAACTCGAACTAACCATGAAAAAATGGAACATAAATGTGGGCGACCATTGGGCCTACGATTCAATGAGAAGACAGGAGAGCTCTTTATAGCTGATGCTTATTTGGGCCTGCTTGTTGTGGGCCCAAATGGTGGGCTTGCTAGCAGAGTTGTAACAGAAGTTGAAGGTGTACCACTTGGGTTTACTAATGGGCTTGATATTGATCAATCTACTGGGGCTGTCTACTTTACTTCTAGCAGTACCAATTATCCAAGAAGGTTAGTCCATCCCTCTTTATTTCTTTCTGTTTCTTTGATTGAAATTTTTTCGATTAAATGTAGCCTGTCAATTTACAAGTTTAACCGTTACTTTATACGAAATACGTCTTTTGTTTTTTGTAGTCGTAATATTTCTAACTTTTACGCTACTTACAAACTTGATTTTAATTATCTTTGATGATTTATACTTGATTAGAAAAAAGTCATATGAAATTTTATTAGATTCATATCTATACATATCTTCACAATATCAAATTATAATAATTTTTACATATAGACAATTAAATACTCTTTATATAATGGACGAAGATATGCATTATTGATTGACATGTGTGAAAATCAAAACGTGACAGTCCTTCCAACATGTTCCTTGGTTGTTGTAGGTGTGATACTAGCATGGCCTTAACTATAGAAGTTTCTGAAAGATATAGTGTTGTATACTCTTGCAGGAAGTATATGTCATTGATTCTTAGCAATGATAAGACAGGAAGATTGCTAAAATACAACCCACTTACAAAACAAGTAACGAAGCTTCTCGACAATCTCACCTTCCCAAATGGAGTATCCTTGAGCAAGAATGGGAAATTTCTTCTACTAATTGAGACTACTACTTGCAAACTGTTAAGGCATTGGCTCGAAAACAGCCCGAAAGCCGGTACAACTGAAGTGTTAGCTGAACTCCCAGGCTATCCAGACAACATAAACAGAAACTCCAAAGGAGATTATTGGGTGGGAGTTTATTCAAAGAGAAGTAAAGTTCTGAAGTGGCTTCTTTCATTTCCTTGGATTGGACAAACCATTGTTAAACTTCCGTTCAACGCCGTCGAACTGGCCAAGGTTTTTGTAAGATTGAGAGCAATTGGTTTGGCTGTAAAGATGGATGAAAATGGGAATGTAGTGCAAGTGTTGGAAGATACTAGTGGTAAGTTGAAGTTCGTAAGTGAAGTGGTGGAAAAAGATGGGAACTTGTGGTTTGGTTCTGTTATTTTGCCCTTTGCAAGTTTGTACAAGAATTATGATGCACAAAGTTAATTGAAATAATATAGATGATATAAGGATGTTTTCATGTTTGCACACAAAGAATTTGAGTGTATGTACTTAAATTAATTAATTATTTATTAGCAGTATTGGTTCATATAAATGAAAATCAGTATTAAAATTTGAATATTATACTTCTAGCTTAGCTAAAAGGATTGACTTTATAAAAGGGAAACAAAAAATTTAGTCAGTATAGGAAAATCTTCCTCGGTGCTAGCTCAGTTGGGAATAGACTTATTTAAGGCATATTGGATCATTCAAAGTGACAAACTGATTAAAGACATATTCTAACATTATCCATATTTTTCTTTCGTAAGTACATACTATGTGTATTAGTGGATTTGAGTAGTTGGTTCATTCGATTATTTGGGCACAAGAAAAGGCGCTACTTGCATATTGTACATATAGTTTAATTTTGATCATAATGAGATTGCTAATTTAGTGAAGTACATAAGGGTTATTATCACCTTACACATGATATCATAGTCCAATTATAATCATTAAGCATAGTAATTGATATATTAAGTAGGTTTATAAAAATGGTACATGGGTTACATTTATGGAGTAAGAAGTATATAACTAATGAATGTTTCAGTGAACTAATTGGGATAGAGAAATGTCCCTTGACATTAAGCAAGATATATATCATTGTCATGTCAAATGAACAACATAAGTTCAAATTATTCGTAAAAGTAGTAGTTTTCATATTTAATTTGTGGTGATGCTTAAGTGTGTCCAACCCCTTTTTTTCTGTATACTAGGAACCACATACAAAATTCACGTAGTATATTTGATTTTTGGCACTAAACGCCTACTTGACTTTTAGTAGATGGCGGTTGCCTCTAATGGTGGTCTAGCTAATCTTGTCCACAGGTTGTGTTTTGCAATCAATGTTGGACTCGTATTCATGCATATCTTCAATCGCTAAATTTATAACATACCACATACACATTCATATGTTATTCATCATTATAGATTTAAAATTTAAAATTATGCGTTTATCAGACATAAAAACCAAAATGGTACAATTAAACAAAGGAAAAATTTAATCTTCTCAAGATCGAGAATGAAAAGGACTCGAGAGATATTCAAAAGGCATTTGGATACATTACACAACACGTTAATTTAGTTAATACAACACATTAATTTATTTAAATACAAATTCATCAATGTTCAACAACGCCATCACATGAAATTATTGTTGAATAAGTCTGAGATCGACTATGTGTCTATCGATTCCATCCAAAAATCCCATGTGATAACCTTATTTTAAGACTCAAGTGATGACAGTAAGAGTGAGTTTGATTACTTTGATATTATATGATAATGACTCCAATATAATAATCTACAACAAAATTAAATAAACTTCTACGGGTTTTTTGAACTAATGATATAAATAGATTACAAGCCTTATTTATTTAATTTGGTATTTGGTCATAAATTAATATCATGAAGTATATATGTTTTGTCCCTTGTCTTTAATTGAATGTTAGATACGTACAAATTTTAGATTCATTATTAAATTTTCAATTTTGTGTATGGATATGTTGGGATGGCTATGCCATTGAAGCTATGATATATTGATATGGCGTGTATTATGAATTTGATGATGGTAATCAAATTTAGCTTGCTTAATTGGTGTAACGACGTATACTTCGTACTACATATGTTAGAATATACAAAGTATATTTTAAATTCGGACCGATTGCAATTTTTGGTTTTGGGATTCCCTCATCCTCTTCATCCCCCGCCTTTCCAAAGCCCTAACTCCAAAGGTTGTAATGATTTATCGTAAGAGGTCATCACAAATTCACAATCAATAAAAATATTTATCTTAGTTAAAATATTAAAGATCATACTTGATGATAACTAAGACCTAGAGATAACTATTACACATAATATTTACTCGTATAAAACACCAATTAGTCTCGTGTGTGATCGATCCATGGATAATAATCGTTACATGTATGGTTGTACACACATAACATAAGTATAATACGTTTGAAAAACTTTGAATTTTCCAAAAATTATTTGTGGTGATGCTTGGCTTTAAGCATGTACGACTTTTGATCTTTCCCATCTACACCTAAGAACCACTATCCTTCAAGTACTTATTCACTAAACGACTACTTGAATTTTTGAAGATCGATTTTGGATGTCTAGTTAGATAAAATTTATCCACAAACTTTACGTTTCAATCAATCAATTGATTCTTGTTTTTGAATTTGATTGGTTAATTAGTAATTATTAGGTTACTAAGATATAGAATCTGAATATATATAGTATTTTTTAATTAAATATGTGGAGGGCCATTCATAATTCTTTGATTATCAAATTAAATTGAAAATCATACTTCATACTCCTTACAATTTCACTCAAATTTTGCTTCCTTCTTTACGTTTGGGCGTGTTTCTTATTTTTTTTTTCGTACTCCTGCTCGATTCCCTAAACAAAATAAATTATCCCCTTTACCTTCTTTTATTTAATACTTCTATTTGCGCCCCCCCACCCAAAAAAAAAATGAATAATGCTTAATGCATTAGAGAGGTCGATTATAAATACTAAAAAGTAATAAATAAAGAAGATTAACAAATTTTTGAGGATTAAAATAATACACTGCACATTGACATGAAATTTATCCCATACAAATTAATGTATTACTCTTATTTTCACTTCAATCCACCAAATGAGCCGTAAATAGACAATGATAACAGGATTATGAGATTGTCCTACAAATATTTTAATGATATTGTTTTTGATAGAGATTATTTAATTAATGCTTTTCTCTTGTGTACTACACTACTACCATTATGTGTTGTCATGATACTTGAAAGTCTGAATTAATAATTCTGAATACATTTATATCACAGAATATATGCATAGCTGATTAACTTATGTGAGCAGTAGATGACTTCATTTATGTTATTATTCTTACAAATATATATAGTATGAAAGAAAAACCGAATAATTATATTAGGTCATGACTCATGAGGTGCATGCATGAACAAACTGCTCCATATTTTATAAACTAATTTATGTCATCCATGCATGGCTAAAAAAATATCTCTCTCTTTATTTTTTTTTTAATAACGAGAAATACGTACCTCAATCATTCAAGATAGAAAGAATTAGTATTGATTGTTGTTTTGCTTTGCTTTAATTTCATGCAACTATAAAAGATAAAAGGATGAAAGACTTCGTCGTAGTTCTTATGAGTAGTATTTATTGGCAAATGAAGAAGTGGAATGTCTTTTTTTTTTTTTTTTTTTTTTTTGGAAACGAAAAGAAGTGAAATTTCTATCTGTCTTTTAGGCCCCGTTCACTTCACCTTATTTTTGCTGAATTGAAATTATTTTTACTGAATTGAAATAATTTTTGCTGAACTTAAATTATTTTTACTGAACTGAAATTTTATTTGCTAGATTGAAATTATTTTTACTGATTTTCTATTATATTTCTTCTTTAAAGTTACTGATTTTTACTAAACTGAAATTATTTTTACGGAACTGAGCTTATTTTTACTGAACTGAAATTATTTTTACTAAACTGAACTTATTTTTACTGAACTGAAATTATTTTTACTGAATATTATTATTTTAAGGTGAAGTGAACAGGGCTTACTCCGTATTTTTTTAAGAAAAATATGAAATCGCCTAGCTTCCAATTACGACATCATTATGTCTATTTTGTTAGCATCAATCTAATTTCAATTCCCTTGATATAGTATATACAGACTTATGGACATCTCCAATTCATGCCCTTGATGGTAATATAAATAGAAATAGAAAAATATGGGTAAATTTTAGCTTAATTTTTTTTTAATAGTAAAATCAATTCATTTTTTTTTTGACGAGTAGTAAAATAATTCATTTATATAAAGCTAATACGACTCATAAGAAATTCAAATTTACCTGACCTTAAACTCACTTTTGCTAATTAAAATGGTTCTTCATATTTATTTTTCTTTAAATAAATCTGGTGTACAATGACTATTATACTACAAGTAAAACTACTCAAATAATTAAAAGATATCTTGATATAAAATAATAGTTACAATACCTTTATTTACCGCTCAATTTACTCTCTTTATAGGACCTTGTAATTAAAAAAAAAAACAATTTATAGTACATAAATGTAAACATAATACCTGACGTAAGGAGATTAGCAGCTTCGTTAATTTGACGAAGAAGTTCAGCGTCAGAAGAATTGATTTTAGTTTTTAGGGGTTACGATTTCTACTAGTCGGGCTTTCGGAGTCAAATTGCTTAATAAAATATATTTTCGGAAATGAAAACGGGCCAATAGAGTCTAAGTCACAGCTATGCTAAGGGCGACAGGCTTTTTAAGTCATCAGAGTTCGTTTAAGGCCCGAAAATAGCGTTTAAACATTTTTCGAATTTTAATTTTGCTTAATTTTCGTATTAAGGTTTTGTTTAGACTATTTAAACGTCTTAGCCGTCATTAGTATTTAGTTTTTGACATTTTAATAATTTTGAGAGTTTTACTCTTTTCTGGTGGATTATTCCGGAGCTTTTACAGATTTATCGCTTGTAAATCTGTTTGTTCGTATTTGGAATTGCGCTTGCTTTTCCTCCATTAATTCCAACTGCGTCAATACCCTTTATAAAATTTATTCTAAAACTTATTTTGTAATTTATAATAATAATAATAAAAAAAAAAACTTTAATTAATTATAGTTACTTTAAATCGTAGGAAAAATTGCCCGAAATAATCCGACCTTTGCCTCATCCGCCCAAAATAATTAATCCCACCTTTTGATTATGGTCCCAACCGGTCATGTAACTTGTTATAACAAGTTACCTAACACGTGGCGGCCTGCGATTGGTCAAAAAAAATAAAATAAAAATTTTAAAAAAAGTTTATTATTTTTAAAGAAAAATAAATAAAAAAATTAATATTTAAAAAACCACCCCACCATTTTGAGCCACCGTCCAAGCCGCCTGAGTCCCCTGCCCCGCGGTTTCGGCCACCTAGACCCCCAATCCCGGCGCCGACAACGCGCCCGACCCCCTCCCTTGAACCACCAATCCCTTCTCTCCCCCACGAAAACCCAGCAGTTTTGGAAACACCGGCAGCCCTAAAACCATTCCCTAACCCTCGAAAATCCCTTTTTTGGTCCCAATCCCAGCATGCTCCCCTTCCCCCGTCCCTTTTCCGGCAACCTTCCCTTCCCCACACCCCGATTTCGGCCCCCATCCCCTTTCCGGCGACGCCTTGATTTCGGCCCCTACCTCCTTCCCACACCTTGATTTCGGTAATGGTTGTGGTGGTGTAGTGGCGACGGAAGGGGGTAGTGGAGGGCTGGAGGATTGGCGAATGGCGCAGGTCTAGGCCAATGATAGGTGCGGGGAGCTAAGGTGCTATGGTCGTGGTGGAGCTAGGGTCTGGTTCTAAGAGTTTATTTATTTCTTTTTAAGAAAAAAAGTTAATTAATGTTAATTACTAATAATCATTTTTTAAAGCAAAATTAAAATTAAAACTTATTTTTTTGACTAATCACGTGGAGACACGTGTAAATTAAACTTGACAAAAAAAATTACCTACTCTATCGGTTACAGATCACTTGGTTGGGACCGTTTGAGCGGATTGAGTATAAAGGTCGGATTATTTAAAAATAATCAAAAGGTGGGATTATCTTGGGCGGATGAGGCAAAAATCGAATTATTCTGGGCAATTTTTCCTAAACCGTATTCAAAGTTAAACAAAATTGATTATAAAATTTTGGTACATCCGGGTTACGATATACCTAAATTTTTTCTCCTTTTATATAATAACATGGTTTTTTTGTTTTACTTACGGAGTATTTACTTAATAATATTTCATTACTTCATACGAAGTACAATCTAGTTGGTCACTCACTCAGTACTAAAATCCAAATGAGATGCGGGAATGCGAAGAAATTAAAAGCAGCTAATAGATTCCCAATAGGGCTATAGGCTTATAATGGGTAATCTGGCCATTAAGGAAATTTTGTTATTAATTAGTACAATATTTTATATTTGTACAGCATGTGTGAATTGATGACAAGGATTTTTATAGCTAGCTCGTTGGTTGCCACATACTATTGTGTTTCCTATTTTTGATTCCCCTTTTCACGGTTTTAAAGGCCGTCGACGATTGTAAAGCTTATTTTACTAAATTACCCCTCATTAATTAGATCCGTTAAAAGCAAAACAATCTTAAAACTCGACCTGATGTGAACCAAAATCGAACAAGTGGTTTGAAATTGAACTAAAATATGGCTGCAATATAAACTCCGGTGTATGTAGACTATATATGGCTGCAATTTGTGACGTAGACCATAAACTCCGTTGTTGATTGAGCGTTGGTTGTTTTTTGTATGGTGGTGGTAGTGGCTCCGGTAAGTTAGACTTTGGCTAGTCAATGTCGAAGTTAATGGTCAATGTCACATTTTTTTAGAAGTGATTTACTACAATGTTTTAAAAGGTGTCTTCTCTAATATTATTGGATTTTATAAGTTGGTTTTTTTTTTTGAAAAATATTCTAATTAAGTTGTATCATTAGAATATTAGTAAAAGTTAATTTTCAATGAACATACCTGAGGTTACACATTCAAATATTGATAGTAACAATTATTATATTATGGAAAATTTGTGGGGGAACTACCTTATTACTATACTAGATAATATCCGAGTCATGCTCGGTTTTTAATGAGGGTAATTGAAACTGAATATAGAAGTCTCATGAAAAATGTGATCTAAAATTCCATCATTATAATATATAATTAAAGTATAAAAACGAAAAAAATAGAGTTTATGAGGGAAGATTCCCTCCAAAAAAAAACTCTAATTTAGTTTAGGTATATAGATATATAGATTGGCTTTACATTTGAAAGGGAAATTTTTTTCATGAGATAGCGCCACGTGTACAGCTTTGGGAAAAGATGACATTAGCGGTTACTACCTTAGTATTAGTTATAGATATAACACAAGTTTTGCAATCAAATAACTACCTTATTTGCAAAACTTGTGTTATACTCCCTCCGTCCCATATTATAGTTTCCGTTTTCCTAATTTGGAGACCCAAAATGTTGTTCCTATTTCTATTTTTGAATAGTTGATAAAGACCACTATAACCTCATTTTTTAAACTTTATTCATTCTACTTTTTAAATTACCCTTAAATTTTCCACTTACTTTGTACTTTTTTCCCACTTTATCTCTCTAACTTTTGTAGATAATTGTACTTTCCACCTCTTTTTATTTACTTCATTCACTTTCTCTAGGAAATGATTTTGGCACACCATAAATTGATTTTGGCACACCCCTATGTGAGAGCATAATTTTTTTATGCTCCTCTCACATGGAGGTGTACCAATATCAATAAAGGGTGTGCCAAAATCAATTTCCACTTTCTCCTCTTCAACTTTTGTCTATAATTGTACTTTTTACCTTTTTTTATATACTTCATTCACTTTTACCTCACATTTCTTAAATACCATGAAAACAAATACAAACAGGAACTATATATTAGGACGGAAGGAGTATAATGAATTATCTACAAAATTTCCTTATTTTATGCGGTCAAAATGTTATTCAATGCCATGCATTAAGTTTTAATAATATATTTTCTTCAATTATTTTACTTGTCTTGTTTCATTTATTATGTTTGTTAATAATGCAGTCAAATTGACATTCAATGTCATGCATTAAGTTTTATTACTAAGACAATTTTAATGAGATCTCATAGCATTATATTATAATTTTTACTAAGACAATTCTAACAAGATATATCTCATAGCATTATGACTAGTACAAAAGTCAAACAATACGGAGTATAACGGAATAGACAACTTATCCAATTCAATCCCGAGGGCACTATCGTAGTACCACTGCACTTGTAAGGCCATTTTATTCTCTAACAGCCTATATTATTGTCCCTTAGATCACCAATTGTTCTTCTGCCCTTAGCTTTCTCTCTCAAAAACAACCATAATAATTTAACTCTTAGCACACAAAAAACACAGAGAGAGATATATAATTCTCTGAAAACTTTAACCAAATTTTTCAAAAAAAAAAAAAAAAAAAATGGTTGTAAGAAACAGAATAATTTCACAAGTACTACAAAGAAGCCGCAGCAAAAGCATCAGCAGCAGCAGTTTAGGCCAACAGAAATGCTGGGGTTCAACAGCAGCAGCGGCGGCGACAGCGACGGAGGTGGGATCAAAATCAATGGGGTTTTGGTTGAAAGATTATGAAGATTATAGGAAGTCATTGTACGGTGGAAATATTACTCACAAAGCTCTTTTTGTTGATGCTGTTGGCACTCTCCTTGTCCCTGCTCAACCCACTGCTCAGGTCTTTTCTTAATACTATGTTTTTGTCATTCGTAGTTGTCTATTCATCAAGTTTACTTCCAACTAGGCCAGGGTACGTGCTAGAACTAGAATTATAGTACTCTGATTTTCTTTACTAAATTATTTATACTTTCTCCGTTTTTATTTACTTGACCATAACCTTTGGCACAATTTTAAGCATTATAATATATGGTTTCCCATTAGTCACAAAGCTAATAATGCATTCAAATCATTGTTCACACTTGAAGTGTATTAAGACTTTCATGAGACATTATGATTAACAAATGTAATTTGCATTAAAAAATTTAAAAACCGTCTAAATTATTGGTCTTGAGATATGAGTAGCAGATTTTTTATAATTAGTGTGCTGTATTATTGGTGTTTATTTTATTTAAATTGGACTAAAGAAATAAATAATTTTGTGTTATTAGGTACATACAGATTAATGTTTAAATTCTACTCCGTAATTTTATTACATTATGATATTAACTAGGAAGAGGTGACAAATTGTCTGATAATTTTTGTAAAATTATTTATATTAATTTTCTGGATGACATTTAAGTAAATTAAATACCAGTATTGTTAATTGAGATGCAGATATATAGGCAGATGGGAGAAAAATATGGAGTGAAATATTCAGAGGATGAAATATTGAATAGATACAGATGGGCTTATGGTCAACCTTGGGGAAGATCACGTCTCAGGTATTGTCCCCTTTTTTTTTTTCCTTATAATTATAATGGAAATTTATTTTTGGAAATATTTCTTCTTAATTACAATTTTTGTGGTTCATTGTTTGATTTTATGTGTCATGAATTGCAGACTTGCAGTGTTGTATTTGTGGTAGTTTCTATATTTCTGTTATGTGGTCCATATATAGTATTACCTGTACATCTGAATTCTGTGTGCTCATAAACAATATGAGTACAACATTATTATTTCTCGGAAAATGTTTGGTTGATCCTTAAAATGACACTGCTAACCTCCCTTGCGAAATAATGGAAGAGAGCAAGCCATTATTTTTTTAAAATTTGCCGAATCAATAGTGTGAAGGTCACTAACACTCTAACACGTTGGGTAAGTGTATGTATCAATGTCTAATGTTAATTGGTACTCCGTAATATATTTATCATTCTGTCATCGATTTTCGCGTTTGTGAAGCCTTATCCAAAATGTAGTTGGAAAGATGTGAAACTGGCTAAAAAGAATAAAGTATACCCCGTAACAAGTTCTTCTGCAAGATTCACGGTAGCACTGTACTTACTTAGTGTTCACTTTCAGTTAATTAATTTTGATGCCACATGTGGACAGTTGAGCTTGTTTTCCTTTTGTTGCGGAGAATTTCTTATTAAAAATACTAATACATGGTCTTGAATCTTGATACCTTTGTTACTAGTAATTATAAGAAAGAGGAATCTTTCAAGTGTTAATAATGTTGATTCCTTTGTCACAATATTAGATTGACCTTGAATAACTTTATTCTATTCGATCTAGGGTACATATTCGAAAGTTGTCACCCATTCGATTTTGATTTTGATTTTGATGTTTCAAATATTCGAATAGAATTCACACTAGTAGTGTTTAGGCACCGTTGTTTAATACTCCGTAATTGTTTAGATAATATTTGCTAGATCGAGGAAGGAGGTACCACGGAAGCTTTCCCGTTACCTCCCTATTCTTGAATCCGATCCCGGTAGCCCCCTCTTGCCCTCCCTTTTGTTTGAAAAAAGTAAAAAGTTAAGTTAAGTTCTTATTGGACATCAGATGTGATTCAATAGTTCATTAGTCAATTTACTTTCATATACTGAATGATGAAAACTTGATTACATGGTAAAAAAGAAGGCTTTTATCATGTCCCTTGAATTGTAATTGTAAATGTCAAATGTCATTTTATCCCGAACCTCTAAAATTCAACTAAAAGTGGAATTATTGTCGTTCTTATCTATATTATAATTCAAGTTTTTTCATGATTAAGATTAAAATACATAAAAGGAAGGAACTTCTTTCATAATTAAACAAACTCTAATTTGACAAAAGGCAAAAGTTACATTATAAGTGGATTTTGATGGCTACAACACTATGCATTGTGGTCCTGATACCCCATTTTATGACAGTGATGGATGTTTATAATGATTACATTAACTAAAGATGAAATATTATTCTTAACCATTTGAAGTACGGGGATTAATCATAACGAACCTTCTCTGTGCAGATACGTGGATGATGGCAGACCATTCTGGCAATACATTGTTTCATCTTCCACAGGCTGCTCAAATGCTCAGTACTTTGAAGAGCTATACAACTACTTTATGACTGAGAAGGTGGGTTAAGGGCACTAATCAGTTTAGTGCTCTTTTGTTCTATGTCTAACTGTGTATAGTCTAAGTTACACGCGTATTTGGGACCAATGCTGATGCTATGTATTTTAATTTCAGGCATGGCAGCTTTGTGACCCGAATGCAGGGAAAGTATTTCAGGCTCTGAGGAATGCGGGTGTAAAAGTGGCCGTTGTCTCAAACTTTGATACTCGGTTAAGGCCTCTGCTGAGGGCTCTGGGTTGTGAGCATTGGTTTGATGCTATGGCTGTGTCAGCTGAAGTAAGAAGGCTTTTTGGTTTGCCTTTTTAATGTTCACTAAATGTGATTTTACTGTAACTGATAGAAGTGCATCTCTGTGAAATATTGAAAACAGGTTGCTGCTGAGAAGCCAAATCCAACAATATTTCTGAAGGCCTGTGATCTTCTGGGTGTAAAACCAGAGGATGCTGTTCATGTTGGTGATGATCGTAGAAACGATATATGGGGTGCTAGAGATGCAGGCTGTGACGCATGGCTTTGGGGAAGCGAGGTCCATTCTTTCCAAGAGGTATTTGCTCTTCTAATGTGTCACTGATTCCATATCTAGTACTCCTTGAGTCCGAGAGAGAATTACGGTGTAATAACATAGGAGATTAACGCGGAGATTAAGAAGGTTAAACATGTAGAGTGAAATAAGAATAGACAGGTAGGGTATGGGTATGAGTCCCAATATCAAAGAATAACCTTACTAAAAAAAGGCAATACGCTAATTTAGTCGCTCGTACAATTATGTTTTTCTGTATTTTAAAACAGACAAAACAATATCTTCAATAATTTACAAATTACATATTTTATGGTTAAGGATGAGTTATGGTGCGGCGTATCGTTTCATCCACATGAATGCATGACTACGTTATATCCATAAGATTTTAGATTTTTTTGGAGAAAAAAAATTGAATTTAAAATGCTATTGGACTTTGATAAGTTATCAATCATTCAATATGTTCAAGCAAGGCCTTGCAATCTGATAAAGACATATCACTTGTGGAGGGTGTGCTTTCCTTTAATTAAAGGGTTAACTTTGGGAAAAGCTTAGAAAAGAAAAGGTTGAGAATATTAATTGATATGGACCATATGATAGGGAAATAGACAGCAAGGAAATCCACATACAGTATGTTGCTTCTAAAACTGACTTTTTTGGATTCAGGTTGCACAAAGAATTGGCGTCCACATCTAAGCAAACTGATGTTTTTTTCCACTGCAACTCCGATGGGCATCTAGAAAAGATGCGAGCTCTTTCGCTCTCCCTTGTTTAGGAGCTGTACGATTGGTGTTATATACCTGGTAACAGGACTTCAGAGGAGACTATAAGTTTATGTTACCAAATAACCTGTAAAAAGGATTTTGTATAGCTTCTAAGTTGTATGTAATGAGTGTCATCAATTCAAAGGGTAAAATGAAAAGGGTCGAGGAACCGTGAAGTTATCTGAGAAAATTGGTCCAATCTTTGCTAACGTAACATAGAGCGTAGTTCAGATGGATTGACAAGCGTGATCAACTTCGAAGCTTCACTAATGATCCATTGTCAGGAGGGGTCTGTTGTATTATAGTTTGATAATAATCGGCACAGAAACTGTATGTTAGCAATGTGCAGGACCTTTGTTGGATCTAGAATGTATTGCATGGTTCAACACTTCAGCTCACTGCAATTTGCAGAAATGATTAATGATGCTATTTTTCTCTAACTCGAGCTTCTTACAGTGACAGTAGTTTATACAAGTATGAAGTATTCAGAACGACAAAGTACAGTACTATTTCATCTCAATGATTAAAGAGTAAACCCTTTTTATCATACTTCACCACACAGCCCCCAAGTTAAATCAAGCTGATATACTCAAATTAAACTTCACATACCAATAAGATTTTTGGCATTGCTGGTTGATGGTTGATCAATGCACATTCAAAAAGAGAGCTGTCAGTAGGAGAACACAAATTGGAGACATTATTCTCAAAATTTTCAATAAAAAATCCAGCAAGAAACGATGGCAGTTCGAAATAACAAATAACAAATGAACCAGAACAAGAGAGCAAAGGTAAACAAACACCATTATCGATTATTCACCTATGTTATTGTAACTTGTAAGACACCCCCCAAAGCCCCAACTGGCTCCATCTTTCCTAGATACTGTATAATTGTAACAAGTTTATAAATTATAATAATCATTCTTAAAAACAGATATAAGCCTATGAGGCTATGATTCACAAAACAATACATGTCTAGCTCCGTATCAGAGTGCACTTCGATTCTGGTACCATTACTTCAAAAGAAAGTCTATGGTAGGATAGCAATGCAATTGACCACTTGGTACTAACATTCAACTCTCTGACTCTTTGAGTGGAATATAATAACAATAACTCAAATGTCTAGACTGTCATGGATCATCTGCACTACTGTTCGAATAAAATCTTAAATGAAGCCCCCCCCAGTGTCACCCTAGGCAGCAATTTTGTTAGAGGATAACTATCAATATAGCTTAAATGATTGAAAATAATTGAAATTTAATTTGGTACCAGTGGCGGATCTTAAAAGTTTTTCTTTCGGGGGCCAATAATTTATACGGCGTTACATAATTTTACAGCTTAAACAAGACTACAATTAAATAAGCATATGAAGTCATTTACAAATTCAACAATACGGAAATACAAAAAATTAACATTAATGTAATAGTAAAATAAAAAGGTAAAAGCTAACGATCGTCTCGGGGGCGTTGGATAAGATAACAAAAAGTAGAAATTTTGAATAAAAATGAACATTAATTACACTGATCGATACGTGATTTTGGTATGCATTTCTAAATTAATACTCCGTACTACTTTAGTAAATATTTTAAATTATTATCTAATGCCCCGTGGCGTTTGTTAGCACACAAGATCCAAATAAAAATTAGACGATATATAACTGATGTTTGTTGCAATTTTAATTGATGCGTTCCCCTGAAAAAAGTGCATTACTTCATCATGCTTATTTAATGTCTACCGGAAAGCAACAAGAGAAGCCTAAACAGTTGATCCTAAGCAAATTTGTTGGCTGCATAAATGTCAAAGTACCTAACATATTTATGAATATCAGCACAACGGAGCTTAATAATAGTGTAAAGCATAAAAAATTTGATCACCCAATCTGAGATACCCACGACTTGGCCACCCCGTACTCCTTCATGATCCATACATTATACGAACCAAGTTCAGGATTGTAAAGACATAACAGACCATTACAAGAACCACCAAATTTGATCACTTTGTAGTCGAACATAAGGCGAACTTGTTTGGATTTTAACAATTGATTATTGACACATGGGTTCAAAATTTGGGGGATTTGCAGCTGAATGGCAGGGGGTCCAAGGAGTAGAGATTGTTGCTGAAGGTGGCGACGATGAGGAGACGATTGGAGTTGGAGGAGAGAGAATTTGAGAGATCAAGATTTGAGAATGATTAGGGTTCTCCATGATTTGCAAACACATTTGAATCGTAGCAGAGATTTCACTGGTAATCGAGATAGTATGTTGATTACTAAGTCTGTTGGAAGAATTTCCATGAGATTGAAAAGCTAGGGTTTCCGATTACAATTTCAATCTGGGGGAAAATGAGGGGAGAGTTTGTTTGTGGAGCTAGGCATGTTAACGAGCCGAGCTTACTCGCAAATTGCTTGATGCTCAGCTGTCAAAAACTCAAAGTTTGGCTTAAACAAGCTCGACTTGAGTTCGGATTTGACTCGAGATCTTAACATGTCAACAAATTCTACTAAAGGAGAAATTACTACATTCAAACAATATTTTTCATAGTTCCTTTAAATATTTTTCATAGCTCAAATCAATGTAGGAACATATTAGATGCACTTAGCAAAATTTTAAGAAACTATTTCTTAGCACCTAAAACAGGATCTCATGCAAATAATAATATGAATTATAAGATTAGAATATCATACCCTCGATGCGTAATTTCCACAAAGCAAGAGAGCACTTCTTTCTTCAACTAGAGATCTTTAGAACTTGTCGTTCCTCTAATATTGGTCCACGAGCAATGATTGAATCTCCACGTATGCTAGTATGGAACAAAGAACAATTCCTTATTGCTTTTACTTGTGGTTATGTGAGAGAGAATTTTTTTTTTATTATTGATTAATGAAAGATGTGTTATTTCATTTATGTCACTTAGTCATATTTATAATAAACTATGGCAACTCTTCACATAATTGCATCTCTTAGGCTTTAAGGCCTATTCATGCATCTTAATTCAACCATATACTCATATGTGTGACCTCATAGGACCGGATTATTATTAGTAGTAAACTAATAGCATTAATTCACAAATCATAGTTGATTTCTAGCAAAACATTATGATTACCTAAAATAACCGATTATAATTAATCTCCACATTTGTCCTAATTACAATTAGTAATTACACTTGATCGACGGACATTTCCTTCAATCAAAAGGTTTCGTTGGAGGGGGGTTTGGGGGGGTTAGGTGTGAGTGCAGTGGTCGGATTTCGGGTAAGGGGTGGTCGAACTTAGGGGTTAGGGGGTTTTCGGTTAAGGGGTGGTCGGATTTAGGGGTTAGGGGATGTCAAGGTGGTCGAGGGTAGAATGGTGTAGTGGTGGCCATGGAAGGAGCTTGAAAGAGGGAGACTTAAGCTTGAACAAGAGAGTTAATAAAAAAAAAAACAATTAACCTGTTTACTAGGTTGTAAGTCAAAAGGCTTGTTTTTCGAAAACATAGGATTATTTAAAGCAGAAATGACAAAGGTGAGATTATTAGTTTCCATTTTTTCTTTAAATTAAAATCCAACTACAATTACTACCCTCACAATTAGCTTATTGGTCATTTCACATACTCAAATAATTTTAAACAATCTACTATTTACCAAACACTTTTATACAATCAGCTAGTAAAATAAGTTAGTCAAATCAGTTAATACAACCAACTAGTCAAAATCAGCTAACACAATTAGCTTTAGCTTTCAACTTTTCACCAAACACGACCTATAATGTAACTAAAAGGAGAGGGTTGAAAGGTCTTAACTTCCAAATAAATCTAGCATTATATCTACTTTTTTTTTTTTTTTCCTTTAATACTATTCACCGCAACAATTTTTTTTAATAACCTTAATTTTCAAAACTTTTTGGAAAAAAGATCATAATTTTTGGCAATTTATCTGTGGTTGAAGGTGGCAACTATGATTTCAACGGATAATAAATTTTTAGTCAAACAACATATTTCATGATATAGACAAAAACTAGGTTAAAACCCGTGGATGCACGCTTTATATAAAATCTAATTTTATAATTTGTACATTTAAAAAAAAATGGATAAATATAAATAAAAACTATGCACCCTGTACAAAAATATTTGTAATTTTATAGTTTTAGGTTTTCATCAAAAATTATGATATAATATTTGTTCAACGTCGTCTAATATATATTTCAATGTAGGAGTCCATTTATTAGTGTGCTATTTACTATTGTTTTATTTTTTTAAAGATAAATTGATAGGTTGTAGTTACAATGTAGAAGCTTTCAATATTCAAATTTCAAAATCTATAACTAATACTAAAGTAATTACCACTGACATAACCACTGCCATGTGTCAGCTTCTTATAAAAAAAAAAATTCCTCCAAAATTATAAATGACATCATCCCTTTTTTTTTTTTTTTAGATAAAGCTAATTAACATTTGAAAAAGGTAGATTAATTATACATTTTCCTAAAAACTTTTATGACTAAAATTACTAACTACAAAATTTCCTATGGAGTAAAAAAAAAGATAATAAAATTGGTGGTTGGTCTCTTTCGTTTTCCTTCTTTCCTCCTATGTAGATTTTTTTTTTCCCTACATTTTATCAGTGATGGTATGAGTTAGAATTTTCTACTCTTTATTAATTCATTTTTTTTATAATGAAACAAAAACCACTAAACTGATATAATGCTAACATATCATATATTTCATTTTAATTATGAATTTAATTAGAATATTTAGCATTATTTTTTTAACTCAATTTATCTAATAAAAGAGATCATTATTTATTATGTTTTTCTTAAATTATTCATATTTTACGCACATAAGAGCTAAAGTTTTATTGCTAAAACCGTGCATCGCACAGAACTAACCTAGTTGTTAAATACAGTAGCTCCACTAAAAAAAAATGACATCATCCTTGTATTTAGGCGGAAAAAAATTTATCATGTGAGTGACATGTTGACAATGATGACGTCAACAATGTTTTGTTTTAGTAATAGTTAATAGTATATAGGAAAATTAACAATAAAAAACCAACCTTTGCCCCATTTTCCCAAAATGGACCAACCTTTAAATCTCCAAAATAAACCTAAGTTTGCATTTTTTCTCCCAAAATGAACCCAACAGGTTACCTTACCTGTTATATCAGGTAAAAATCCACGAGTCATTAAATCATTGGTTAAGGTTTTTTTTTTTATTTATTTTTTTTTATTTTTATTTTTTAAATTTGTATAATTTTTACAAAAAAAGAAATAAGAAAAAAAAAAAAAAAAACCAAACGCCCTTCCACATGCCAGCCACCCCACTGTCACCCACTAAGCCTGACCCCCCGCCACCCACTAAGCCACTATCAGGTGGTGGTGTCGTAGCTAATGGACCGCGGGTTTGTGGTCCCACATACATGACTGACTGGTTACTGTATGAACCCAGTCTTTGGCATTTTTAATCTGATGTAATTCCGCCAAGATAGCACTGCCTTTTTCAGCAGTTATCAATGAAGAAGCAATCTGGTTCGAAGGCGAAAAGAACAAGCGTGCTTCCACAGTGAGCTTAGTTCCACCCATGAGTACCTTCTACTTGGATTTTGCTTCTTGCTCGTCAAAGAAATTATCCAACATATCAAGTGCATGTCGGAGCAGTGGCGTATCCGGAAATTTCAAAGTTTGGGTTCGGAATTATAAAAAAAAAGATTGAAAAAGATTAATTAATGATTCAATACGAGCACATAAGTTCAAATTTAGGATTACAAATGGATTACATATTCTTCTATTGAAGGATCCCTTGAACTAGGTAAAAAATAAGTGGAGACTTTTGTGACTTCATGACACGTTTCAAAAAATACTCTAAACTCATGGTAAAAACCTTACAATCTATATTAACATCAAGTAAAATTCATTGTAACATTATAGTTTTATTATAGAGTAAATGTAAATTTGCAAATCAATAATACACAAAAATTAATCAAGTTTTTTTTATTAAAATCTCTAAATAATCTACTAGTAATATTTTAATTTCTAAGTTCTATCACAAAAATGACAAAAAATGAATGATGAAAAAAAAAAATAAATAAATAAATAAAGTGACATACTCCGTATCAAGTTACCCAACTCTCCGGATCAATAGAACTTTTCGACAACAGCTATTAATATACACAAACAAATTCTAACAATCTCCATTTATTAGCCAACATGCTATCAGATCCAAGCATAAGAGATTATGATAGGCTTTAATTCTAACAAAGATTGGAAGGAATTTTAAATAAAAAATCCCAATATACCCAAATTTGACACATGAATTTTTTTTTTTAAAAAAAAAACTACCAATTAAATTTTTATTTTGACTGATGTTAGGGATCGAACCCTTGATCTCCAAGCTTAATAATTAGTCAAAATTACCGATGCGCTGGCTTCTCCTACTTGTTATTTGCTACATAAGTAATAATTTAACTTTTTCTTTTCAGAAAGTCAGTGAACCCAACCTATAACGCCACTGTATCGGAGGGACTTGATCTCGTCACTTGCCTCAAAAGGATCCACACCATAGAGTGCAGTTTTGATGGGAATGTGGACAGAGGGTGGAGGTTGGGGGATGAAGGTGGACAAGATGGAGGTGGGAAGTGTTTAATTTGAGGATTTTTTTTTTAGTTAGTGGCGGCGGATGATGATGGTGGTGGATGATGGTGAGGTGAGGGGAGAGTCATCTGTTTTTTTTAATTATATTGTTAATTTGAAAAGGATAATTAAAGGTTTTTAATTAAAAAAAAATAATTAAAGAAAAATAAAATAAAATGACTGGTTGTATAGATCACTGGTCACTTGGATTCATTTTGGGAGAAAAAAAATGCAAACTTATGTTTATTTTGGGAATATTTAAAGGTTGGTCTATTTTAGGAGGATAGGGCAAAGCTTGAGTTGTTGTTATTAAATTTTCCTAGTATATATTATGTATAAACTTTTTTTTAATATGGTAAGGAGGAGATCCATCATAGAATGAGTTTGGTGAGATTCAAATATTTAATAGCTGACTTTACACATAAAAGTCGGAGAATTAGCTATCTATTCTAACTTCTTTATCTCTCCCTGTAAACTTATTGTGTACAATACATTTTCAAATCTAAATTATTCGTCAAACTTATACTCTTCCGATCTCCGTCTAATTAGAGGAGCTTGTAAACGAGAAGCACCAAAGACCTCCCTCATTGACTTCCTAATTAGTACGAGTATGGAATTATGGATCACAAGTCAAATGAAAATCTAGGAACTTTTTAAACACAAGAAAAGGCGGGAAAATGCAACAAAAATACATACTCTCAGTTTCTACTTCAATTTTCAGTTGCAATTGAGCTTCATACTCAATTCAACAGAGAAAACAGAGATTTTTCCCAAAAAATCACCCAATTTTGTTGTTGAACAGAAAAATCGAACGCAAAATTAGGGTTAATTTAATATGAAAATGGAGAGGATTTACGTCACAGTTAGGGCAAGACCTCTTTCTCCAGAAGACGCCAAATCAAGCCCTTGGAAGTTGTCTGGCAACTCAATCTTTTACCCTAATTCATCTTCTAAGTTCGAATTTGGTATCTTTCTCCTTCATTTGTCGAAATTTGTTTCAAAGTTAAGTAATTTTTTTAGGGTTTTGATTGATTTTTTTTTGGTTGATAATTTTTTGCAGATAGGATATTCGGAGAAGATTGTAAGACTAAGGAGGTATATGAAGCTCGTACTAAAGATATTGTTTCGGCCGCTGTGGGCGGGTTTAACGGTATTTTCTTTTCTCTCATTTTAGGGTTGTGTTTTGGGTGTTGGGAAACTAGGGGATTACATGAAATTGGTATAATTGTCAAGGAATTGTATTGAATAATTGAATAATCAAATGTTCGAGTGAAGCTGTAATGATTAGCAATGAAAAAAATGCTCAATTGTGTTAAAGTGGGTGTGATTGCTGGTGAAGACAGGGTTTTTTTGGTGACATGGTTAAAAAAGCTGAATTGATGATGATTTTTTTTTTTTTTTTTTGGTGCTATAGGAAATGATAATAGTGTTTTTAGATGTTTTGATGGACGAGCCTATTGGGCGAAGGTGGAAATGGAACTTATTAAAGTATTACTTTGGGAGGATGATATTATTTAAACTACTAATAATTGCTTATGCATACATAATAAAAGATTTGTTAGTTATTGCATGGATGCGCATAACTGACTAGTAAGATTCCGTTGGAGTTTAAACTGAATGATAATATTGCATGGTTATTGTAAAGTGAGAAATAACATGGAATAAGAAGGTTAAATGGGTAAATAGTATAAAGTTGAAAGTGTAGTGATTTGGTTTCTATGCTTTAGTTTCTTGTTTCACAATGATCTTTGATATATGCAAATGACTGATGTCTTACACTGATTTTTAGGTACTGTATTTGCTTACGGACAAACGAACAGTGGGAAAACACATACAATGCGTGGATCCCCCTGTGAACCAGGAGTCATTCCTCTTGCTGTTAGGGAATTATTTGATATAATTCAAGAGGTATATCCTTCATCGAAATAGCCTCTTTGCTAGAGGCTTTGGTTGGTGTTGTGTTCTTTTAAGTAATTGATCATAGATGCTTGCTGCCAAGTTGTCACAGCAATACTTTTACTTATGTACATATAAGTTCCTCTGCATGATTTTTCTTACAAATGTCAACATCCTCTGACCTTATGTCTTCTTTTTGTTAAAGGTTCCTGATCGGGAGTTTCTTTTGCGAATGTCCTATTTGGAGATTTATAACGAGGAGGTCAATGACTTGTTAGTTCCTGAACACAGAAGACTGCAAGTTCATGAAAGCCTTGAGGTACCTATAACTTATATTCTTACTAATCAAATATGCTGATCAAAATTTGCACTATCCTTTGCTAACTTCTTTTATTGCAGCGGGGCATATATGTTGCTGGTTTGCGAGAAGAAATTGTTGCCTCACCTGAGCAAGTCCTTGAATTTATGGATTTTGGAGAATGTATGGCTTTTCTTCGTTCCACCCCCCCTCCCTCTATTTCTGATTGTTGCAAATTTTAACTCAAGAATTATTGTCTGAACTGTAATTGTTTGGGCTAGGCTTAAAGTGGAATAAATCTATTTTGACTCTTGCCAATCGCATTCTGTTAATGTGTGGTTATGCTGCTTTTGAGAAGGATTTTTGAGCTATAGTAGAGTGTTGGAGTGTTGTCTGTCTTTATATCTAAGTATATTATTTTGCAGCTCATCGGCACATTGGAGAAACTAATATGAACTTGCACAGTAGTAGGTCTCATACAATATTTCGCATGGTATTGCCTCTACTCTTTTATATTGCATTTTAAATTTGTGTAGCTGTTCCGTCACACTAGTTCTTGTAACAGATAATTGAAAGCCGAGATAAAGCAGGAGATGAAGAGTCTGGGGATTCCTGTGATGCTGTCCGTGTCTCTGTTTTGGTATGGGGAATCCAAACTATTCTAAATCACAATCTGTTTCTCAATCCTCTACTGTAAACTTTTGATTGAGCAACTTGTAACTATATAGCTACATGAAGACTACTGCCAAGTTTTCTTCTGACTTTCTTTTTCTACTGCTTGGTATGGATTCTAATTACATATCACGGTTCGATCCAGAACCTAGTTGATCTTGCTGGCTCAGAACGTGCCGCAAAAACTGGAGCAGAAGGTGTACGTTTGAAAGAAGGTTCTCATATCAATAAAAGCTTGATGACTCTTGGAACTGTTATAAAAAAGCTCAGTGAAGGTGCTGAGAGTCAAGGGTAGGATCCACTTAATTGCTCTGTAATCTTTTGGTCGGACGACTTTTACATATTACTTACATCACGGTCTTTAATTATTTTCTTACTTTTTTACACGTGAGGCAGGGGTCATGTTCCTTATCGAGACAGCAAACTTACACGTATACTGCAGCCTGCCCTTGGAGGGAATGCTAATACAGCTATAATATGCAACATTACACTTGCACAGGTTAGAAAATCTTTGTTTAGATTACTATTTGAGTTTTAGCTGCTCTCCTCTGAATTGTGGTTGTGCTTTTGCAGATTCATGCAGATGAGACAAAAAGTAGTCTTCAGTTTGCAAGCAGAGCTTTACGAGTCACTAACTGTGCACGCGTTAATGAGGTCTTAACTCAGTTTTTTGTACATTTGCAGACTCTGGAGTCTATTGTTGATGCTTCAACTGCTTATACAATAGTGTTGATGTTTAAGGACACCATGTATTTTCATTTTTGACCTAATGGCTAATCATGTCCGTCTACAGATCTTAACTGATGCAGCCTTGTTGAAGAGGCAGAAAAAAGAAATTGAGGAGCTTCGGGGTAAATTGCAGGTTGCCATTACATAAACTGGTATCCTTATTGCAATTATCATTTTCTTGTCTAAATCTCTGTCCTTCTAAGAGGGCAATGGATTTGTTTTTAGGCGTCTCAATCGGATCATCTTGAAGACGAAATCCTCAACTTGAGGAACACATTATTACAGGTATGAGGTTATTTGATGTGTAAGCTCAGCTGTCAACTACTGCTGTCTAAGTCCTGAAATTGTTTTACCTGGCCATGTAGACCGAGTTAGAGAGAGAGCGAATCGCTCTGGAGCTGGAGGAGGAGAAAAGAGCTCAGGTGGAGCGTGAGAAGATGCTAGAACAACAAGCAAAAAAGATAAAGAACTTGAGTTCTATGGTATTGAACTCGAATAGAGAGGAAATTCGTGATCATCCTAAAAAGGTGTGGCTCATAGAAAACATGTGCTTTTATCAATAGGATATTGCTTTTGATGTCCTATATCCCAGTTAGAAATCTTGATTTATGTGAAGTTATCATATATATTACATGATCTGTTAACTTCCCATAGCTATAAATCCTGAGGTTCCCCATCCTTTTCCATTCCACTTTTCTATCTAAAGATGCTAGTTTACAGTGCTACTATTGGGAGTATGGGACTTGGAAGTATACATAAGTCGTAGCGACAAGTGAAGCAACTTATTTCTTGCAATATTGAACATTATTGTCTTAGAGCAATTAATTTTAAAAATAAACGAGGTGCAGTATTAGGTAATCAATGCTGGTAAAGTGTTATTGTTTACATAAAAAATTATTCTAATTCTGCATGATTTTGAGTTAGTATCTTATTTAGATTCAAGAGTTCTACCTCTTCTCCAGCTGTTCTGTCAGCATAAGCTATGCATGTAAATTGTATAAGAAATTACTGCTATCGACGTCAAATGCTTTCTGTTGGAGTCTGAATTCGAGAGATGACATTTGAAATTTTATATCTCTATCCTTGTTGTGTACATATCTGCTTTTGCTGTGGTGTTGACATGTTTGTAACTTAATTCTCATTTCTGCTACTTTTGGAGGAGCTTCTTTCTCCAACTCAATTTTGTATTACTCTTACTGTTAATCTCTTTTATTACATAGGACAAGAGACGTGATACATGGTGCCCTGGTAAACTCACAGTGGAGGCTTTCAAAGAAGTAAGGAATTTACTGTGCCTTTGTCATGATATAGAAGGATCTTGTGCACTGTGCCACTGTATACTGGTTCTATTGCTGTTATAATTTAGTTTTGAGTGTCTTTAAGATGATGAAATAATAAGTGCGGGTGTATGTTAATATTTACAATTTACATCAACATTTCCATTTTCTCCTTTTCATTTTAAAAGCTCTCATAATTGAATAATTAACAGTTGTGGATGTGCTCTTCAGTCAATTTAATAACAGGACTAAATTTTATTCCTTATTTATAGATTAAAAAAGATTAGTGTAAAGGGATAAAGATAGTGAAGACTGATGAGCATGACTGCATGAGACAGTTACTTATTGGGAGCCTTGGGGCTATAATGCAGAGTTTCATTTCAAAGTTTTTTATTTTATTTTATTTTATTATTATTATTATTATTATTTTTTTTTTTATCACAACAGCTGTCTTTGATAATATTACCATGAGGTGGTTGAATTCTTCCAATAGCTATTTCCAAATTTGCTTCTCTTTTTTTTAAAAAAAAAAAAAATTAAAATTTGATTCTTCACAGCCCTCACCTGCAATAGATTAGATAAAATCATAAAAAAATATTTGGAGACAAAACAATATCATAATTCTGATATCAATTTTATTTGTATGATTCAGTTTGGTACACTTTCTTGATCTTAGTGGAAACCTGCATGTGCAGTTATGGTTGGATTCAATGTCCCAGGATTCATAACTTGTGATGCCCTAGGGACAGATAAAATGGGAACTTGACCCCTTTTTTTTTTTTTTTTTTATGTATATATATAATTGGAGATCTTTTCTACCGTATCAGTTGATAGCCATGTCACTGTTCTCTTTCCTTGTGCCAAGAACTTACTTTTCAGAGTTTCCTAACAAAGTTTACTGAAAAGTTTGAATGGTATTTTCATTTTAGGCATCTAACAAGATGGATTTAAGAACTTCTGGTATGAAAGTGAGACAAGAGCGTGATCAAGGACCTCTTGTTCCTTTTGAAGATCTTGTAACTGAATGTGAAGCTACACGTGATGTCTCTAGCAAACAAAAGAAAGATCATGATGACAATTATTCAGATGATTGTGTGCTTCCAGACCCATGTACCTTGCTCAAAGTTACTAGCAGGAGAAAAATGCCACAAAAGAAAAAGACCTTGCCTATGGTTAGTATATTATTTCTTTGCCTTTTTCACCGATCAATACCTCTGTTGTTATGCTGTGCTTAGCGGCTTAGCCTTCTAAAATCTAAACTTCCTAATGTAAGTATGTTACTGCCTTCAACCCTTTATTACAGTGATCTCTGACATACTTCGATTTCTTCTCTCTCAGGAGAACAATGAATTACATGAATTGCAAGCAGAATATGAAGACCTTTTCCTGAGATTTGAAACTCAGGTCTGAATTTTTTCTCCGCCTTTGTGTTAAATTAATCTGAAGTGAGGTGACATAACACCTGATTCTTCTTTATCTCAAATGCAGAGGATCATGTATGAAGTACAGCTTGATTGTTTAAATAGAATGTCGAAAACTTATGCAGAAAACTTTGATTACCCCACTCATTCTCCACACAGTAATTCTTTATCCAGTGACAACAATATGCTCTCAGTAGATAAAGATGCTACTCTTTTAATTGAACAGCTAAAAGAGCAGGTAATTTTTCTGTTAATATTGGTTTGTTCTACCCTCCTCTGCCATCTTTACCCCTGGCACTTGTGTATTGTTATGATTTTGCCGTGTTTGTCTTTCAGATTAAGGTGTTAGAAATGGAGAAAGTATCAAGTGAGCAGAATTTTGAAAGTATAATTGATTTTGAGAAAAAGCAGAAAGCATGTGCAGTGGAAAAATATGAAGAGGTATTCATGTTAATTTATTTATTCAGATTTAATGTTAATTTTGATTACATTCTTGTCTCTGAGAAATTTGTATTTTTATATGTGGATAATCATAATAATCAAGAGCCTCATAGTTTGATAATGTTGTGCATGTGTCTGTATTCTTATCTCAACTTGGTGAATCCCATTATATCTGGATGACAAATTTTCATTTGTTCCTCCTGGGGTTAATTCTCTACTACAAGTATACAACAACCAAAACTTATATCCTTATATCACCATAAAATGGGCATTGTTTCTCTTGGGGGAAAAGTTCTGAAACTGCTTTAATTTTAATATTCTACATATGATATTGGGATTAAGAACCATTAACCCTTGTAAGTCTGTGTCTCCTTTTTTCTAATCAATTCCAAGTATCTGATTTGGAAAATAGTTACAGCAGAGGCTGGAGATGGTCATGTTAGTTTACTTGACTATTTTCAAGGGGAGCACTGTAAGTTCTATATTTAGAATGATTGCATAGGATATTTGGATGGATCAGTATGTTTTTATTTTTTATTTTTTTATAATAATTTTTGGTCGTTTATATTATTAGATGTTTCATGGGGAACTCATAGTCTCATACAACAATGGAAAGAAAAAGACCCATCGCAGCCTATCTTGGATGATCAGCTTGTTATTGCTTTACGTGATTAATCTGGTTATGTGTTTTTGTATTGCTTGTGTCATTCTTTTTTAAAAATTCCATCTGGCTTTACATATGCTTTTCTAATTGTCTAACTATTTTTTGTTGACCTGCTCATTTACTTTTCAATGGCATGATTTGCTTCTCATAGTGTTGGTAATCTCACTAGTCTAAAGTCAGAATCAGAAGGATGGTCATGACTCGTGCTTGATAATATACATTGTTTTATCGATCAGAAGTTTTAAGTTATGGACATTGCAAACTTAGTAACATATACTAGAAACAACCTTAGTGCTTATATAGAACTTCTATGTAACTTTTTTTTTTTTCCTTTCATTTTCCGATTAGAATGCTTGCATACTCTGTCTCTTTCCCACTACGACGGCTACGTTTGTTTAGCTTTCCATCTTTCAGCTGGATTTGTTCCTCTGTTCAATAATTTTCTCTCTTTGTGTGCTGATGGTTTGTGTTCCTTTAAAATTTTCAGCTCTATGAAGAGCTCCAGAATGCCAAAAAGGAGGCTGGGGTTGCTTGTACTAAATTGAGTGAAAGATATGCTGAAGCAATGGAGGTAAAAACTTGCTGCTTTTGCATCCCTGCAATAAATTTAGTGTTTAATCTTTTGCAGTATAGAAATTCTTGCTCGCCTTTTTCTTCTATCTTTTACTTTATTATTAATTGAGTGAATGGTAAATTATTCTTGGTTTCATATTATTCTTGGGTCAAATAGGAAAGCAATTCAAACTTAGTGTCGGAGCTTCAATTAGAGGTCCAACAAACATGTGAAGAAGTCCAAAGCCTGACTGCTTTGTTTGGATGCATCTCATCAGTCAATGAGGAACTTCTTATGAACCATTCCAATGCACTTGACGAGTTACATGTATGTTTTTCTTGATCCTTTTCCATATTTTAAAATGTATATGCTGAAAGAGTAGACAAAGTTGATTTGTTTTGAGTTTGTGCAGAATTTGAAGTCCTTTTTGGGCGAAAACTCCGTGTTATTGAGATCAGTTGCTAATGATCATTTAAAGCTAACCAATAGCTTGAAAAACAGGATAGTTGAACTTGAGAATGAGAAGGTGAGGTATCACATAACTGAAATAAGCAGCAGGATGAAAGTTATTATGATGGTTTTCATCTTATTTTAACAGATTCAATTTCTTTGTAATGATGCAGCTTATATTCAATAGTCAAACTGAAAAAGCCTTGGCTGTAAGTTTCTTTTCGGTATGTAATCTCTGTTGTGAATGTTGGTTTTCTTCCTTTGTAAACACATATCCTTCTTTTTACAGGATCTCTCAGAACAGTATGATATGGAAAAATCAGATCTATTTTCTCATATTAAATTCCTTGAGAAAGAAGTCTATTCCTTGTCATCTTCTTCCTTGTCTAGAGAAAAGGAGTCAATGAGGAAAGATCTCGAGAAAACCAAAAATAAGTTAAAAGAGACCGAATCAAAGCTTAAGAATTTAATGCAAGAGAAAACTAGACTTGAGGTACTCAGCTATTTCCTTGTATTAAATCTTAGATAACGATTTAAGTTTATATTATGTTGAGGTGATGCGCTTCGTCATGAGTAGGGTGAGAGAGCTAATGCTGAAAGAGAGATTAAAAAATTGCACAGTCAGAAGGCTCTTCTTGAGCGTGATATCTGCAAACGAGACTCCCTTGCTGGTAGAAGACGTGAATCCTATGTTGATCGTCCCAGGGCAGCTGATTCCAAAAAGATGAGGGGTCAAGAAAATGTTATGCAGCAGACACTGCAGGTATATTGAAGTCTTGCTTGCTTGTCAGTTGAATTATGCTGATATTAACTGTAAATAATTTAGATCAAAATCGAATTTGCATTATTCATAATTTCCTATATAAAATGGAGGCAGATTTCCATATTAATGGTAGTGAAAAGTATATATGATAGCCTCATTTTCCCTTCTTGGTCTTACACGCTATCTGATGAATTAATTACTGCATGCTTCTTCCAAATTAAGACTAAACTTTTGGTGGGTTTACTAAGGTTATTTTTTGTAGCTTAAAAATTCTTGTGCAAGATTAATATGAGCTTTCAGCTCTGTAATGTTTTCCATATCTGAAAAATGTTGGCTTTACTTGGTATTTAGGATGATTATAAGAAGCTGGAAGTTCTTGCTTTTGAAATGGAAACAACAATTGCTTCTCTTGAAGAGGAGCTTGCTGCTGCAAAGCAAGAAAAGGAAGAATTACTTGCTAGAAATGAAAGTTTGAGTTTTGAAATTGAGATGTTATCTGACAAGTTTGACGCGTCAAACAATGAATTAAATGCTTTGCAAGAAGAGCTTTCAGATTTAGTAAGCCTCTTAACCTTACTATTATACTACCTCCGTTTCATATTATTTGCAACGATTTGACATAAAGTGTGAGTAGAAAATGTCTTATCGTTGCAAATAATATGAAACTGAGGTAGTACTTTGTATATGTGTGTTACAGTTTTGCAGATTATGGATTACCTTTCCTTCTTTGTTACTCTAAGATTTTGAAGGGCATTTATCTTTTTTTGATCAGAGATTGAAGTTTGAGAAATCTGAAAGCTCCCACCAGAAAATGGAAAGCCAGCTTAATCTATTGGTTGAGGAAAAGGAGGAGCTAGTAATGGTATCTTGATTTCTGATTAAATTTGGAATGATTATATTTACTTTTCTTTGCATTTTATGTTTATCTACTCTGTATCTTGATTTTCAGCAACTCACAAATACCCTTTTAGAATTGGAGGAGGAAAAGGCAGTGTGGTCAGCCAAGGAAAAGGCTTCTGTTGAAGCCATTAAGGAAAAAACAAATGCTTATAATGATGAGCTCACTTCGTTGTCAAGTGAATTATCAAAGGTAAAAATCATATCAATAATTTTTGGTTTCTGAACCTTGCATGTTCTACATCTTGGTAACTCTTCCCCTCCCCATTAATCAAGCTTTTGCACTGCGTATGTGATATGGCTTTTGTACTAAGCTTAAGGCCCCGTTTGGTTTGATGTTTTCATGGATTATATTTTTCCCATTTTTTCTCATTTTCCATTGTTTGGTTTGTGAAGGGTGGAAAACAATATTTCCCATGGTGGAAAATTGCATCCTTGATGATGGAAAATACTTTCCTTCACAAAACAAGGGAAGCCACGTTTTCCTCCCTCCTCCTTTCCTCCTTTTTACTTTCCTCTCATCCATCCTCACATTCTCACTCCTATGTTTTACTTTTCTTAACTTTTTTTAGTATGCAACCAAACAAAGGAAATCTAATTTGCAATTGCACTTTTACTTGAAAATATGCTTTCCATGAAAACTAATTTTCATTGAAAATGTTTTACATCAAACCAAACGGGGCCTAAATTCCAATTGCGGGGAGGTTTAGTGATTTTTAGGGGTGAGTTCGGGTAGTTGTGGCAAGGTGGATTGAAAACACTAAGATGAGAGAATGTGAAACATTTGACAATTTACTCCCTTTCTGTCAAATTGACTGCTTGGTTACAAGTCTTCCAACAGAGAATTCAAGTTGTGCAAACTATTCGTAATTGTTGTTTATTTTTATTGTATGGTGGTGGTTTATGTTTGAGATGTAGTAACTTTGACATGAAGTTATAATTTTTTTGTAAATGATAATATGTGCTTAATCTAGCGGTATGTTTGTCATATGAAGGTGAGAAGTGAAATGATGTCTTTCCAAAAGGAATACGAGGCCCTTCAGGAGAGATTGAAGTGTGCAGAGGAACATGCAGAGTTGAAGACAAAATGCAGGTCTGCATCAATTGTCTGATCACCCTGCTATTGTGATTTGATTTTCTAGTCATTATCTGTTCACCACCATCACGAAACCATTGATTCCAAGTAAAGATGAGTGCATTGTGTCAACAAGCACATTCATCTTAGACATGCTTCTTTTCGTGTAAAGCAGTTGACTTCTTTATTGAACTTGGGTTTGTATCCCAAATTTTTGAAATATCCATGGGCACAGCTTCACTTGGAATCTAGGTTCCACGTTTAAACTCAGCCTTTTCCCCAGAAAACTTAGATCAAGAAAAGTATTTTTGAGGGTAAGGTATTATGATAGAGTAATAAATAGCTCTTAAGGGAAGTATAAACCCAAATAGGGATAGTCCATTTCCACTCCTGCAAAATATTTCACTTGGAATAGTTTCCATTCATTTTTCTAGAGGATTTACTATAGTGAAATGGGTACACTCCCTATTAAAAAAACGAGTTTATACTGAGTTTTGCAACATGTACTCACCTACAAGCCTACAAGTATCTATTCTGGGTACATAACATGTCCACTTTCCAGACTGACATTCTAGAAAATTTGTATGGTTTTTCCCCCTGAGCTCCAATGCCTGTAAGCATGCTGTTAATTATCCTATGAGGGTACCAATGAAGTAACATAGGCACATAGCTTATGGGAACAATCTTCATCGAATTCTTTAAAAATTTTCTCTAAGCTATTGATGATTATTTGTGACTGTACCACTGAACAGTAGTTCCTGGACTCTATAAAGCTGTAAGCTTTGTTTATTTTCAAATGACAAGTTACTGGGGAGAATCCGAGACAGATATCAATAGAAATTAATCTATGCATGTTCTCATTCTCTATCACACAATATATAATTAACTTCTACAAATTATTGTATTTATGCAATTGGTGCTTTTAAAGGCCATCATATAATTGGATACTCCATATAAGATGATAGTGGTGGCATAATTGAATGTTTCACTTTTATTATTTTTACTTTTATATTTATTTATAAAGATTTTCTCTTCTATTGTAATCTACTTATTATATTTCATAAACTTAGACTAGTTTTGTTTACTGAATTAATTAAAGACATTGTTGAGCTTTGGGTTGGGAAAGAGCTGAACAGAAAAGATACAACAGATTCTGTAACTCATGTAAGGTTCTTTTGATTATACTGGAGAAAAGCAATTTTGATTTACATTTAGCTTATGATACTTTCAGCTATTTTTCTTTTGTATAAAGAGAATCACCATGTGCTTTTCAAATATGTTCTGCAGCATGGAGAGGTTATCCGAGATTGATCAATTGAAACATGCACTTGAAGTGACGGACAATGAGAAGCGGAACTGTGAACATGTTTGTTCCTTGTTCTATTTAATTTTTAAAATCTGTTGAATGAATTACTTTTTCATGATACTAGCTACATTGATCTCTTTCCTTCACAGCTGTTGAAGTCCAAGCTTGATGATTTATCTTCAGAGCATAGTCTTGCGTGCAAAGAAGTGGATAAGCTTCAGATGGAGTTAGCTACTCTCAAAACGGAGCAAAAAGATTTATTATGTAGGATCAAACAAGAACAAGGATCAAATTTGTCTAATGACTTGCAGGTCTCATTTACGTTTTCCTATTGTCAAGAATATTTGACAGTTGGTAGCTATGCATTGCTTGAAAAACTAAACCACCTGTAGGTACTCCTAATAAAGGCAGTTGACCTGTTTATATCATTCTTACAGATGAGCAAAAGCCAGCTCCAGTATATGACTGAAGAGAGGGACAACTTGAAGGCACAAATTGAAGAGCTGCAAGGAAATAAGGTTGAAATCGATTGTATTGGACAATGCGATGATGACAGGGTAAAGTTGATAGTTTCTTGGCACTGCCATTCGCTGTATCTGATAACTACTACTCGATAAGTCTATAACCCTAAAGATATCCAAAACTAAGTTTGTTTAATTTTCAGTTGACAGCTCAGCATGAAGCAGAACATCTTTCAAAGAGATTAACTGCACTGGAATTAAAGATACATGATGTGAGTGCTTGTAGAGTTGGATTTTCTATTATTAGTGTGCTTGTGCATAGAGGATATATAATGTAGATAGCCAAGATAGGAGGCGATTTGTTTGCTGAATTGATCAATAAGCTTATTGAGTTGGTGCCGTAGCAACTACTCTCTCTTGAACTGAACTTTTTATACATCATCTTTTGGTGGAATCCTGTTCTGATGCAGATATTAGTCAATGCTATCTGTTTCTCCTCTTCTGAGCTGATCTAATAAAAAAAATTCTCCTAAATTTTTTGTTAATCAGGATGAAGTTAAGAAGAACAAAGAGACAGCAAAGCTACGAATGAGACTCCGATCTACACAAGCTAAATTGGATGTCTTCCGGGAGAGGTATAAGGAAGCTTTAGATGAGCAGGATTTCATGCATAAGAAATTTGAGGAAGCTTCCACTATGTTGAAAGAACGGTTGGCTTCCTATGGTATAGAGGTGCTTAACTTGAAGAAACAACTTGCTGGTGCAAATACACGTTAACCATTTCATGTATAGATATGTTAAGAGAAACACCTGTTTTGTACATTGAAGTGGTTCGAAATTGGGGATTCCTGTAAACTTAGGTGATTATCATTACCTCTTAGGGAGTATATATTTATAAACATATCGAGCTAACGTACTAATTAATTGTAAAAATATATGCAGCTTGTGTATTTATTAGGAGTGGATTAACAAAGAAAGTAGTATTTTGGTGAAGAGGGATTGATTCTGATGCAGTTTGCTGCTTTCTTGGGCTGTATCCTGTATGGCTGTATGTAACTTCATGTTTGATTAATAAATACTCATCCATGAAGTATTATTTACCAATAATAGATACTTCAGTTTTTGTTTTAGCGTTTTTAATATCTTATGAACAATGGATGGTTTATTTTTTTATTTTGTTTTGTTTGTATTAAAATAAAAGAAACATGTTTGATAATGTTTATAAAAAATTATACTTCTTCGGGTTCGTTAATATTGCGATGGTTTGATTATTATTTTTGCAGGCCCTATTTGACCATTAATATCATTAATTTTCCATCAAGAATTTAAAATATACTTTTACACTTTTTTTTGATAAAAAAAATGTACCTATAGTCATATATGATGTTATTAAGTACAAGTAATATTTAATTCTCTAATGATCTGCCATTAGTAGAACTCTAATTTTCTTTTTCCATCATTATTTTCATGATCAGTAGCTTACAACAGTAATTCAAGGGAAAAACTTAAGAAAAAAATGTTCTCTGAATTACAAGCTTAAGAAGAAATATTAACTACTTGTAGATGTTCGTCGAAGTTGAATACATTGAAAATACAAAATATAGTTCCTGGATAATCTAAGTAGTAATTAACACACTAATGAAAAAAATTAAACTTAATTAGCGATGCCGCGAACAATTTGCTTGAATAGCCCTTTGGCCATGACTCTATAGGCATGTTGAGTCATATGCACTCCATCCCAACTCACTAGCTTATATGGATCGCGACACACTGGAACTCCATTATTTCCACACATTCGAGTGATGTTAAAATTGTACTCGTTGTCACCAATTCTACAGCAAGTCTTTTGTACTTGGATCCTTCTCAAACCCTGCATATCGATAATTATATGTATTAGTTCAAGTTGTTCAACAAAAGGCTAAATCATTAATTTCAAGAAAACGTTAAAGTATGACAATAAAACTATATTACTAACCATTTGAAGCAGCATTTTGAATGAGTCCCTTCAATGCGTTGAAATAATCAGCATAGACAATTGCAACGTTTGGATGCTGTGTTTGAAGCTCTTTAATAGCTAATTGTAATTGATCGTTTTGAAATGTTGCGAAATTATTTAAACCCTTTAGACATTGAAGCTCATCGTACATAGTTGAGTCACTCGTCTTGAAATTTCTTAGATAAATAGGCATGCATCCGATAGCAAAATTACCAGGAATTACAACTTTAGTAGCGCCAAAACCAATCACTTCCTGCAATGTTTATAATTAGTAATCTGCATATATTATATATAATCAACAATTTAAAATCATAAATTATATGTTAGTAAAATAACAACCTTCACCGCACTAGTAATGGCTTCAAGTACTTCATCCACCATTTGTTGCACTTCTTCTAGTGTTTTTCGTCCAAAAAATGCATAGTTAAAGACGTTGCCTCCGGTTTCGACGATAAATAATGCATTTGCGAGTTTGGCCTTACAATCTGCACACATTTGAATAAAAAAAAAAATTAGTTTCTATTGCCTTGATCATCATTAATATCTTTAACAATTTAATACAAAAGAGCTATCTCAAACTTTTTAAAAGGACGGAATGAGAAGTTTAATTAATTACCTTTAGGATTAGGGCAGAGTGAATGAAGGTGAGACTTAAACCAAGCCAGCAGCCTACCGTAAATGATCGATTCTCCTTCCTACTCGCTTATTTGACTCGTCTTAGGAGAGGATCGCGAACGCTTTTGCTCAGCGCTTGTCTTTCCGCACCAAAACGGAAGATCTATCTATCTTGCTCGGGATGCTTACGTGCTTCCGCACCATCCCTGACTTTCTTGCTTTTCCGATAGCCTTTGGCCCCCGTCAATTCCTTTGAGTTTCATTCTTGCGAACGTACTCCCCAGGCGGGATACTTAACGCGTTAGCTACAACACTGCACGGGTCGATACGCACAGCGCCTAGTTTTGAACAGATAATGAACTGTTGGTAACCGGCGACGTAATGTTTTTAGCAGCTAAGGTTGAAGCGTCGAGAGCCGTCGATCCCGCGACAGCAAAGTTCACACCATGAGTGAAGTTACCGGCTTCATTAAGATATGCATCAAGCAAGGGCAACTTGAAGTATCTTGCATACAATAAAAAAATTTATTAGTGATACATATAAATCGACTTACTGATTTATACAATATAAATAATCAATGACAATATGATCGTCTATGTTACATGGACTCTTCATTTCATCTTAACCACTCATGTCGGATCCTCGACATTCGGATATGGGTGTGAAACTTGGACACTTCACTTTTGGTTCAAAAACATTATTTTTTTTTTTTACAAAATAGTCGAGTCGGACTCTTAAACACATACTCGTGTCAGACATGGGTACCCGAGTCCATGTAACATAGATTATCGTATCAAAATGCAATTTTTATAAGAGTACGGCTAAATATTACAAAATAGTTGTTTAAAAGTTTTTTCTAGTTAAAAATCTACTCTCTCTGATCTTTAAATTAGATCTTTAATTTCTTCTATATTTACTAATCCGGCCCGTTTTATTTATTTACTGAAATTTTATTCAACAAATTCTTCAATAATAATTTTCTTAAAATAAAATGATAAAATATCCCGTTAATTAAGCAAATCTTAACTTAAGACATTTTATGTTAAGAAAATCCAAAAATACTAAAAGTTACAATCTGCGAGCAAAAAAAAAGTTGTCACAATCTTACATTACTCATCATGAAGTATACTCATATAATCCGACTTTTTCACCATATACCCCTGAGTTATTTTTTTATTCACCATATACCCAACTTTTTTTTCAAATTCACTAAAAACACTTGAGTTTCAAAATATTATCACCAAATGCCCTTAATGACTAACGGCAGCTAACTCCGTTAGTTATTAAGACTAATTATATGCCACGTGGCAACCTATGATTGATTGTCATTTAAATTAAATAAATTTAAAGATAATTATATAATTTATTATAAAAAATAAAAAATAAAAACCCACCCATCATAACCCAGCCGCAGCCACCGCCACCACCCTATATATCCTCGCCAAACCCCCCGGTCGGCGCCGAATCTACCGGAACTCCCGCACTGGTGCCACCTTGACCTCAACACCCAACTGCCGGCACCCCAAAGCTAAGCTTCCCCTAAACCACTACGCTATTCAATCAAACACACCCTCCTTTCTCCCTCAAAAAACGCACCCCTCTCCACTGCCGGCGTCCAATCACCCTTCCTTGCGCCAGCGAACCCCACGCCATCTCCCCCTGCCCTTCCCTCTGCCATCTCCACCCCTAGAACCACCATGCCAAAACCCCAAACTAAAAAACCCTAAAATCGAAATCTAGGGTTTCGATTTTAAGGAATTCGATTTTGGGGTTTTAGGGTGTCGAGGATGGTGGTTTAAGGGGGAAAAGTAGGTGAAGATGGGCGAATTAGCTTCGCCGGCGCAGGGGATGGGGTTTGGGCGCCCGAGGGAGGGGAGAGAGAGAGGTGTTTTTCGAGTGGAGGGAGGGTTTTTAGGGTTGCGGGGAAGGTGGTTCTAGGAAGGAGAAGGGGCGGCGATGGGATAAGGGGAGGGAGGGTGGCCGCTGGCGCCGAAGAGCACGTTGGTCACCGGTGTGGGGCAAGGGCTGGCTGTTGTGGGGTGGTGGTGCGGTGGAAGAGTGGCTGGGTTTGGGTTTTATTTTTAATTTTTTTTTAACTTTTTTTTTGTTAAATAAATTAATAATAAGGGATGAACCAATTAAAATATGCCAAGTGGGATAATTAGGCTTAATGACTAACGGAGTTAGCTACCGTTAGTCATTAAGGGCATTTAGTGATAATTTTTTGAAACTCAAGTGTTTTTGGTGAATTTGAAAAAAAAAAAAAGTTAGGTATATGGTGAATAAAAAAATAACTCAGGAGTATATGGTGAAAAATCCGCATATAGTCATATAATTAAACACAAGTTAAAAAAATCAACTAGTAATATAAAGTTCAATTACCGAGCTAAGAGTATCACAAGCAAATTAAATTTGATCAGATTATTGAATTTTATTTACAATTTGGTATTTTAAAACACAAATTCTTATATATGTGGTTAGCCACACGGTGTGGCCAGTCATAATGTGTTACTTCGTTAGTATTATAGGGGTTACCTGATCAGTGTTCAAGGATTACTTTGTTAGTGTTACAGGGGTTACTCCGTCAGTGTTTTAAGGGTTACTCCGTCAGTGTTACAGGAGTTACTCGATTAGTATTTTAGGAGTTACTTTGGTATTTTATAAGCGGCCACACGGTGTGGCCAGCCGCTCACAAAACGCATTGATTTTAAAAAGATTAACACACCAAATTAAAAATGGCTAAATATTACAGAAGTAAAGATGAACTAACAAACGAAGATTTTAAATTTTTAATGATAGAGAACGTGATTAATCTTTGAGGCAAAATCAATAGTAAAATAGTTTATTGACAGAAAAGTCATACGACAATTACAATATTAATTAGAATTAACAAATACAGTAGCAATTGGATTAAATAATCATAACCACGATCTTTGTAGATGACATTTGACATCGATGAATATTCTCTTTCACATAGCTGTTTAATACAACCTTCCACATGATGGGGTCTTTCTTTCTATTATAGCTTTGAAATCGAACAATACTTGATGGAATTAGTGTAAATGTAGAATTAACCTTCATTGCGACAATGTACAAATCTTCATCAAAAAATAAGCAATTTTCCCTGTAAAATTAAAAAAAAAACTTTTATAAAGAGAGAAATTAAACTCAATATATACGAGTAGATATAGCCCAAAAATTGGGTAGAAAAACAATTTTACGAACGATTTTAATGCAACTTCTTTCTTAATGAAGTTATTACAGAGTATTTCTCAAAAAAAAAAAAAAAAAAAAAAAAGGTTTTATCACTGAGTAGTACCATACCAACTAAAAAATTAAGAGAATACTTCTAGCCATGCTTTGTGAACCAATAAATTATAGTCAACGACTTGTTCATCAAATTTATGAAATCCGTTCCCTTGTAATAATCTCTAATCCAAGAATGAATGTATAAATTATAATAGCTTATTAAAGCCATTAATCCTCAATGCCGGCCTAATTTTAAGGAAATTGATATGTGTGGAGTGTGGTCTTAAGGCTGCATTTGATCAAGAAGCTAAAAATTAAAAAATTTACGCATAAATTAAACATTAGATTGACACATTTTGTCGTGTATGTACACTTTAATTCTGTACATGTTAGAAAGGTAATTTGCAATATATCCGCTTTTGGATTATCATCCCACTTTCTCTATCTATCGATCTCCTCTTTAATTTCATAATTAAGAATTTTATTTCAAGCAGTTTGCGAAAAATTTACAGGTAAATTTACTATACAACTTCCAATTTTAGGGTATCTTGCTTTATTAAGCTAGTTTTAGGGTGATTTTTGATCTGTATTGATGATACCTTTATATACTAAGAAGTGAGTTTGCATTTTTGTAGTGTGTAAATTTTTTAAAGGTAATATGGCTATCTTTATAAATTTTGAATGATTTTATTTTCAAGAGATAAAGTAAGCTTAATTATAAATTTGTAATAGGACTTTGTGTGTATACCTTATACATGTCAGTTTTTGTGAAAAACTACTTTATTAACAAAATGTTGTAAGAAACTACATTATATACACTACATGTTGTAAGAAACTACCTTATAAAACACTTAATGTTGTAAGAAGCTACCTTTTACCGGATTATTGCATTGAATAAGGGACATTTAATGACCCATTTTCAATCATTTTTTCTGCTTTTCGCACCCAATTTTTCCATCGCCCCCTTATAACCCCTAATTCCCCTTCTTTTTCTTTGTTAAATCAAGCACATGTAGGCAACTTTCAACATTTAGTTTTTATAAGGTAGGTTTTTACAACAATTTTTATAAGATTATTTTTCACAATATTTTATGTATATAAAGTAATTTTTCACAAAGAGTCCTTTGTAATAAAGAGAACAACTTTATCAATAACAAATAGGTGATTTCACTACATATACTTGGGGATAAAATAATAATTTTAAGGCAACTTTATCTTTAGGGCTTTGCTTTTTAATGAAATTTAATTAGTTATAATCTAAGAATTTAGTACAACACGTTAATTTAGGAAACATCTATCCGAATACAATACCAATAGGGTTTCTTATAATGCAAGTTAGTAAAACCTAATCTTCTACGAGGGCCTTAAAATAAGCCTAAAGAAATTAAGCCTTAATCGAATAACCGACTAGGACTTATAATTTCCGGTCCTTAAAATCTATAAATACGCACACTTTCCACTCTATTTCATTCACAACAAAACCCCGAAAAAAAGTACGTAACAACTAAAGACTTTGGTTATCATGGCTAACATCAAACTAGCATTCTTTGTTGTTCTTGCTCTTTGTTCTTCTCTTCCTCTCCGTCTCCATGCACTCTCTCAACAAATACCGAAAATAGATGCGATTTATCAATTTGGCGATTCGATATCCGACACCGGTAACTTGATACGTGAATCCCCCATTGGAGAACATACAACCTTTGCAAGACTTCCTTATGGACAAACTTACTTCCATAAGCCTACTGGTCGTTGCTCCAATGGCCTTCTCATGATCGATTTTTTTGGTATGCAAGTTTTATTAGTAGATTTACTAATTACCCTTTATTTTTCTAGGGAAAGTACGTAACCTATATGTTTATCTATAATCTTTGCTTATCTTTATGATTTTGTTATTCCAAAATAATTGCAATAAATGTTTTTTGTACTATTTATGTATATCTTTGATCACTTATTTTAAAGAAAAGATACAAACAAGTATGAAATTATTTATGGTGATAATTGTTGCAGCTTATCGATCAATCTTTTATAAATCAGTTTGTTAAAATATACGTACGTAGTATGTATGACTAATATATTTTCTCTGTTGAATAAATTGCAGCAAGATACTTGAAGTTGCCCTTTCTTGATGCATATCTTAATGAAGCTGGTAACTTCACTCATGGCGTGAACTTCGCTGTTGCGGGATCAACAGCCCTCGATACTTCAACCTTAACTGCTAAAAACATTACATCGCCGGTCACCAACAGTTCATTATCTGTTCAAATGGCTTGGTTTAGGTCTCACCTTCATTCAATTTGCCCTAATCCAAAAGGTAATAATTAAACTTAACAACCCATCCTACATAAAATTATCCGTATTTTAAAATGTTGTACATACCACGTTAATTTTGCATTATTTAGTATGCATGCGTCACTTTGATTCTATTAATTGTAGTAATATATAAAAATAAATGAAATCTTATAAAATATTGTTGGATTTGATTAATTTTTTGTATAATTTAGTGTAATTAGGATGACAAGTTAGCCATATCCGGGGAGTATTTTCGATTTAGCCTTATGCTATAATTTTAGTTGTTGGTAAGATTAATGAGGGTAACTATTTAAACAAATATTTTTAGGGGTATTAATGTAAGCACACAATTGTTAATAGTTAAAAAAAAAGGCAATTAATTAACATTAATGAGAGCAAATAAGTAAATAAATATTTTAGAGGGCATAATCGTCCAAGAACTATTCATAAGAGTGAACACATACTTTTTAAAAGGTTGGAGGAATAAACAATAGAGTTAGAGATATTAATGATCAACATAATAGTTACTATTTTTTTTTTGTTCATATATATATGCAGATTGTAAAACCAAAATCGCAAAGTCATTGTTTATCATTGAAACTGGAGGCAACGACTTTAACTACGCATTTTTTGGACGAAAAACAATGAACGAAGTTCAACAAATGGTGAATGAAGTAATTCAAGCCATCACTAGTTCCGTGAAGGTTTGTATATTTTTTTTTTTTCTAATGTTTCGTACATGGTTTTTAATGGATAATCATATAATAAATATGTGGATTACTAATTAAATACAATGGATTTATATATTGCAGGAAGTGATTGGTTTTGGTGCTACAAAAGTTGTAATTCCGGGTAACTTTGCAATTGGTTGCATGCCTATTTATCTTAGCGCTTTCAAGACGAGTGACTCAAATATGTATGACGAGCTCCAATGTCTAAAGGGTTTGAATGGATTCGCTACGTTTCAAAATGATCAGTTACAAGTAGCTATTAAAGAGCTTCAAGAACAAAATCCGAATGTTGCAATTGTCTATGCTGATTATTTCAATGCATTGAAGGGACTCCTTCAAAATGCTGCTTCAAATGGTTAGTAATTACTATTATTGCCACATTTAATCTTTGATCTTTGAATCTAGCTTTTTGTTTATGTACAGGATTAATCGTAATATAACTAATACATCGATATGCAGGGTTTGAGAAGGATGACGTACAAAAGACTTGTTGTGGAATTGGTGACAACAAGTATAATTTTAACATAACTCGAATGTGTGGAAATAATGGAGTTCCAGTCTGTCACGATCCATCTAAGTTAGTGAGTTGGGATGGAGTGCATATGACTCAACATGCCTACAGAGTCATGGCGAAGGGACTATTCAAGCAAATTGTTAGAGGCATCTCTAATCAAGAATAATTTCTTTTATTAGTGTGTGTTAATTATTATTAGATCGATCATATCCGGTAACTATGTTATATATTGTCGATGCATTTGACTTTGATAAAACATCTACAAGTATTTGATTATTCAAGTATTTCTTCTTCGTACAGTTGTGACATGACATACCTATTTTCCGATATTAATTATATTTTATATCTGTAATAATTTAGGAAGAAAATTTTGTCGTAAAACCTTTACTTTAGTATAGGTACATAAATGTTGTTAATTATGCGTAGGTTAGCTTTTTTTAATGATTTTTTTTTGGACATAGAATCTTTTTTTAAAGAAGCCATTTTTAGGAATTATATCATTCAAAAGACTACATTTTACAACAATTAGCTAATGACAGCTACATTTTACTTGGAAATTCAATGAGAGAACTAGCATCCTAAGGCCTAGGTAAGAAAGAAAACATATATACAAGTTTATCATCTTTACAACTTTGTAATTAAATATGGACCCATAACTGTTGCTATAATTATGTAAATGACATGTTGATTGGACAATTTTTGTTGATTTAATTACAATTTTGCCATTTAATGAACAAAATTTTGTTTATCAAGGTGATAAAATAATATAGTACTCCCTCCACCTGTCTTATAATACAATGTCTCTTTGAGTTTTTATGTGGAAATATAATTAAGAAAATTGTAAATTCTTTAAAACTAATGATTAGAAGTAAATATGTGCATGTGGAGTTAGAGAGAGATAGAGAGAAAGAGAAGAGATAGAGAGATAAATTGTTGGAAATTGATGTTAAAAGTACAAAAAAGAAAAAGAAAAAAAGATAACAACTCATCAAAAACAGGTTAATAATGTCAAAAAGTACAGTACAAACTTTAACCTTTAAATAGAAAGAGACATTATATTTTGATATACTAAAAAAAAAAAGACATTGTATTATGAGGCGGAAGGAATACAATAACTATCCAAAAACATTAAAGATTTTGTATTGTGAAAGTAATCTCTTTTCCAAAAATATTCCAGATTTTACAGTGAAAGTAATTTCTCTTCCAAAAATATTAAAGATAACTGACTTTCTCAGCTTTCCAAAAATTAATTAATGTTACTTTAATCCTTTATGTCGAATTATGCCTTTCTCCTATCCCAAAATATAAACCACTTTCTTTTTCTTTCCCTTTTTGCCATGTTATTCTATTGAACTTAAGTTTCATTTTATTTCCCCCTCTCTTCTCCTCTATACATCAATGACTCAACCTCCCACCTTCATCTTTCCCTCAAATCTTCACTCACACTGAAGAAAATGAAAGCAACCTTCTTGGACACTTTCCTCTCTTTGAAAAAGCCCCTATTCCTCGCTCCGATCCTCCCCTTTCTCACACACCCACGTCAAGGTTTTTGACGATCTTCCAAAATATTATTCCGTCTAGCTATTTCTAAATGTTTGTCCCATTTAATATCTACACGTTTTTCAATACAATAAATTAAATATCTCAAACTACGTATTACAAAGAATTCTAACAATTATTGCATAATATTTGAAAATTAAAATCAAAGACTAATCTAACAGGATCTCAAATAACTGTGTTTTGAATTATATAAAACCGTTAAAGTACCGTACAAGATTCTATATTTCCATTGAAATCTCTTTAAATTTCAAATGGGACAAACAAAATAAAGGGTAATGATATATGTAGCCCTGAGAGCTATATATAAGCATTAAATATACTTCATAAAATAGAATTACATGACAAAATCACGTACAGTTCGGTGTAATTAATGTTAATTTATGCTCAATATTTCCTTTTTAGCTTAAGGACTATGTTTATCGTTTTCCCAAAATAAAATAGAGGATAGAGGTAGTATAATAATAATTGAATAAATGGTGCTTTTCCTTTTTAATTCCATTATTGTTATTATTATGTCTGTCCTTTGCACAACCGAACATGTTACAGAAAATGAAAATTGGATCAAAGTTACACTTTAATATTGCATTATTGGAAGCTAAGGAGTATAAATGGGCTCTACTAGCTTAAAAAAATTTCAAGTAAAGTAAATTACTTTAATTCACTGGTGTTAATTTTACTCGTACATTTTATCAAAGTTGGAAATGCTATACTCTGCACAAAACTAGTAAATCTCTGTTACTCACTGTGAGAAACGTTTTTGTTTCTCACAGTGGCAGTTTCGTAAATAAAATGTACCATCGTGACTAATGTGGTACAATTTTATTATCCATTTTGTAAATAAAATGTACCACCGTGACTAAAGTGGTACATTTTATTTATGAAACTGCCACTGTGAGAAACAAAAACGTTTCTCACAGTGAGTAATGGGGGTGCCCTTGCACAAAACACGTTTTTTTTTTCTTTCTAAAGCGCCCTCTCCTCTTTAAATATTCATTGTGGTTATTTGATATTTTGTACTCAATGCAATTCTTTGCTCTTTAAATTGATTAAACTAGCTCCATAATCTTTTGAAAACCTTTACAAAAAACATTCTCTCTTTTCTACCCTTCAAATTGATTAAACTAGCTCCTATAATATTTTGAAAACCTTTACAAAAAAACATTCTCTCTTTTCTACCCTTCAAATCGATTAAACTAGCTCCTATACATGATAATACCCTTATGTGTAGGCATGGCTTATTCAAGTTATGCTCTTCTGCTAACAGTTTGGGTGTGTTGGGTGTTGATGACACCAGTCATCAGCGGAGACAAAGTAGTGTCACCGCTCGTAATCGCCCCAAACTGTTCAGAGAAGTGTGGAGATATGAGCATTCCTTACCCCTTCGGTATTGAAGATGGTTGTTACTATAAACCACCAAATAACCCGACATCCTTCCACATTACATGTGATAACACTACGATCCCCCTAACACCAATTTATGGTGTCAACTTTGAGGTACTTAACATTTCATTAATAGAGGGAGAACTCCGCACTAAACTTCATCATGTTTCTTACGATTGTTACAACCAGAGCAAGAGGCTGCTTCACCAAAACCAAGTCGGGTTCAACTTGTCAACATTTACACTGTCTAGCACCAAAAACATGTTAGTTGCTATAGGGTGTGACACCTCTGCCTGGTTTACGGGAGATCGAGGTGGTAAGAACTACCAAACGGGGTGTATGACTAAATGCGTGGAGCTAGCAGATGCGAGCGATGATGAATGCTCTGGCATCGGGTGCTGTCAAGCCTCCATACCCAGTGGAATAAAAAACACTCAAGTGGTATTAAAGGGCTTTGACAATCATAGCTCTGTTTATACTTTTAACCCATGTAGTGTTGCATTTCCGGTGGCAAAAGATGCTTTTACATTTAACTATCGAAATTTAAGTCAATCTTGGGAGTACTACAAAAACTTGTCTTTTCCCGTAGTATTCAGTTGGACTATTGGACATAACAATTGTTCAGCGGCGAAAAAAGATGGGAGCTGTTTGTGTAAGGAAAACGCAGTTTGTTGTGATCCAGTACATGAAAATGGGTATCGTTGCAACTGTACATATGGTTACTCAGGCAACCCTTACCTTCCTCATGGATGCACGGGTAGGTATAAATATTTTATAATTTTTTAATTACTACTTTTGTTTCTTATTATTTGCAACAAAGGAATATTTTATATTTCACAAAATAATATTCTTTGTTGCAAATAATAAGAAACAATAGATGGCAGTACTTGCTTTACTTAACAACTACAAATGTTACTTAAGATTTTGCGGTTGATGTTTTTTTTTTTTTTATTAGACATTGACGAGTGCAAGGGAGAGAATAATTGTGAGAAGGCAGACTATTGTATCAATACAGTTGGAAGTTATTATTGCATTTGTCCAAAGGGTTACCACGGGAATGGAACCAAAACCCATGGTTGCATTTCTAATATAAAGCCCTGGCTTATGCCGGTCTCGACAACTGCTGGTAAGTAACAAATTATAACTGCTTATACAAATTTCTATCCTATATTAATTGTGTTGTTTATTTATTAAGTTAATTTGACTTTTGCTACCACCAAAAGACATGCATTTGACTTTTGCTACCTCTTAAATTCTTTTTTTTTTTTTTTTTTTACTACCACCAAAAATCACATCTGTTAAAATTTGCTACCAGTTGACGGAAGCTGTTAATTTTGCCGTTTGTGGGCCCCACTTCAACCCTGCCTCTCTCTCCTCCTTCCCCAGCCACTCTCCCTCTACCCCCCAGCCACCTGGCCTGCCGCTCCCCAAAATCGATGCAAACCTACCCCATAACCCCAACTCCGGCGACGGTGAGAGTTTTGAGGGTGGGGTAGTTGGGGTTTCGAGGGTGGGGTTGTTCGCTCCCCAAAATCGATGCAAACCTACCCCATAACCCCAACTCCGGCGACGGTGAGAATTTCGAGGGTGGGGTAGTTGGGGTTTTGAGGGTGGGGTTGTTGGGGTTTCGAGGGGGTCGCCAGAGATCGAAAAGGTTTAGGGTTAGGGTGGCCGAAAAGGGTAGGGGAAGGGGAGTGGGGGTCGATTTCGGTGGGGGAATGGGGAGGGGGGCCGATTCTGGTGGGGCGAATGGGGAGGGGGGTGGTTTCCGGTTCGGGGTGGGGGTCGGGGAAGGGGGGAGGGTGGCTGCGTAGGTGGGGGAAAGGGATTGGGGGTGGGGTCGCCGGCGTTGGCCCAAGCTTTGATCGCCGGCAGGGGGAGGGGGGGGGGTGGCTGACGGGAAGGGGGCAGTGTTGAGGGTGGCTGGGTTTTTTTTTTTTTTTTTTTTTTAAACATTTTAATATTTTTTTTTTGAATAAACTTAACGGAATCCTAACGGATTCCGTTAAGTGGTAGCAAATTTTAACAAAGGTGTTTTTAGGTGGTAGTAAAATAAAAAAAAAAAATTTAAGGGGTAGCAAAAGTCAAATGAATGTCTTTTGGTGGTAGCAAAAGTCAAATTATCCTATTTATTACTCTGTATTATTGTTATTTTTATTTTGGGTAGTTTTGGGTCCTAGCCTTTGGCAAGTAGGGGCATATAACAACACGGCCCCTGTTTCAAGTTTCAAATCACTCTAAATTTGTTGCATTACTGACATTTTTTTGATATGATCTCCTAGGTGTTGGTGGTGGCATGATAATTTTGCTTCTGTTTGGATTTATTATGCACAATAAACATGGGAAAAGGCGAATCAGAAAAATGCGAGAAAGTTTTTTCCGACAAAATGGTGGCTTGCTTTTAGATGAAAAACTCTCCGGACGACATGTTGATACATTAAAAATCTTTACTATGCAAGATCTTGAAGCTGCCTGCAACAATTATAGCGACGAAAACATAATTGGAAGAGGAGGTTTCGGAGTTGTTTATAAGGGAATATTGCCAAATAACCAAGTTGTGGCAATAAAAAAATCTCTCAGGGTAGATCCAAACCAAGTAGAACAATTCATCAATGAAGTTCTTGTTCTATCACAAATCAACAATAGAAATGTAGTCAAGTTACTAGGTTGTTGTCTTGAGACCGAAGTACCACTATTGGTGTACGAGTTCATCAACAATGGGACGTTATATGCCCACTTAAATGATGCAGCCAAAGCGTCCATAATGAAATGGCATGTGCGTTTAAATATAGCATCCGAAGTTGCCGATGTGCTATCATATCTACACACCACTATCTCAACACCAATAATTCATAGAGATATCAAATCGATGAACATACTCTTGGATGAAAGTTACACTGCTAAGGTAACCGACTTTGGAGCTTCAAGATTGATTCCATCAGACCAAAGTCAATTTACTACAGTGGTGCTTGGAACTCAAGGGTATTTGGATCCCGAATATATGCAGACAGGTGAGCTAACTGAAAAGAGCGATGTTTATAGTTTTGGTGTCGTCTTGCTGGAGCTATTGACAAGGAAAAAGGTATTTTCTAACACTAGGCCCGAAGCTGAGAAAGTTCTCGCTATTCACTTCCTCCTTAGGATGAAAGAAGGCCGGTTGTCAGACATTCTTGATATAAACATAGTGAGCAAGGGCACGATTGAAGAAATACAACAAATGGCTAATCTAGCTAAATGGTGCTTGATGTTAAAAGCAGAGGAAAGGCCTACCATGAGGGAAGTTGCAATGGAATTGGAGACCATAAAAAGAAAGGGATCTCGTGATTCCCATCCATGGAATGATGATGGATCAATCCAAGAAGACAGTGAATCTTTTGTTGTTGAAAATATAATATCAAACTAAGGGCGTGTTCGGCGCTAGCGGCGTTTGAGTAGCTTTTAGGTAGCTTTTAGTCAAACCACCACTTAACAAAAAATGTGAGTGTTTGGCAAAATAGTGGTCAGGGTAGCTTTTAGTGGTGGAGGTAACTTTTATGAAAAGTTAGAAATATTAGCTTTTGAAAGTAAAGGTAGCTTTTAAGGTAGTTGTTGAAAATTTAATCTATAGTTTTAAATATAAAATATTAACTATTATATGTAACAGCTAGTCAACCACTACTTTACCGAACACTCATACCTAAATTATCTATCTTCACAGCTACAGCTTGTTGACAGCTAAAAACTACCTACACAGCTAACAACTACCTTCACAGCTATATTTTGCCGAACACGCCCTAAGTCGATTGTAGCAGTGGCGTCGAATCTATTTCGTGCGATTCACACTTGCCCTCCTCTTTGGATAATGTATGGCAGGTAATTAAGTCTTGTGGATACCAATTGTAGTGGTTAAATTATTGTTTTTAATTTCTTTGCTAAAGTTTCTCAAACCTTTATTTTTTTACTCCAACGTTTTAACCACTCCCTCAAAACACTCTTGAATTTTATTCTTAGTTCTCTTTTAAAACCCCCTTAATTTTCTTAAATGTTCTACTTTTGTTTTCTCACTTTACTCATCTTTTTCATACTATTTCAAATGATTATTTTGTTATGCCTTTTTCTTTTTATAGTACGATTCCTTATGACAATTCATGATAGTTGATTACCCAAATCATTTTGGGACTAAATTAAAGATTTGATGTTGTTGTTGTTGTTGTTGTTGTTGTTTTTGTTGTTGTATCTAAACATATGTATACGGAGTACATTGTACATGTAATATAATTGTATAGATAATGTGTGTGTGGTTTATACATCTTTACAAATTTCCAATTAACAAACAATCAAATTTAATCGGTTAAGAAGATGAGCTTGTATTATCTCAGAGGGGGATGAGAAAAGGTATTCCTACAATTAAGGCTAGTATCATGCTATAACCGTACATTCTCAATCAATGGACATCAAGGATTATAGTATCTTATAGACTTATACCACCCTTTGTAATTAAAGGGTGTAAAATGAAACCATTATTGGCCATAGGGCCCATATAGCTACCGTGCATCTTTTGTTCAAATTCACATTTTATTACTTCTTATGTTTGCTTGCAACTCTAATTTATTATTGCCCACTTTAACTTAAGTAGTTATGGTATAACATGATATCCAAATGTTTTACTTCGCTACAAAAGACAAACATTAGACTTGAATAAAACAAAATGTTGTAACTCGAATTGTCAAATTAACTTTTCAATTTATAATACCAAAGAGTTGCTTCTCGTGCAGTAATTCACTTGAAAATGTTACCAAGTTCAACACAGGCACAAAGAATTCTATAAATAATAGACTATATACAATGTTAAAAGAGCATAATAGAAATTATTCTACAAAAAATTAACATACATAAAAAGGCATCTCATAAATCTAGTGGTAAGAATAACCAGAAAGGAGCTTTGGAGGTGATTTCCGTGGAGGAGATGTGTTGAATGTTAAGCCAGTCTTCTCCAGTTGAATATTGGCATCTTCTCTCCAGTTGCGTCGAGCAACACGAAATCTTAAGGTTCCTGAGAGAAGTGAGTTTTGGCATCCAATTTGGAATTGATTCTAGCTTATTGCAACGTACTATAGACAAGGTTTGAAGGGCTTTCAAGAACTGCATCCAATTTGTAGTTGTGGGAGATCAACCAGTTGTATGTAGGTTAGCGAGTGATAGAGGGATTTCCATGGCGTGCCATCTTCTCCGTCTTCTAAAAGACTCAAATTATTGTTGCAGTAGATGTCTAACATCTTCAAAGCAGTGAGATGCTCAACTCCTCCAGAAACACTCCTTAGTTTGGAGCAACCACCAGTAATACAAAAGGATTGCAATGAAGATGAGCAACTACGAAACACCTCCTCAACTACTTCCAAACTCTCTAGCTTGCTATCATTTATGGTCATAGTCGTGAGACACCTAAAAGCCTCCATAGGTAGCGAATTTAGCCATGCCACATCGTCGTCTATGTACACCACCTTCAATCTGGGAATTGAAATACTCGAATTTCTAGGATCACAACAAAATGAACATGATGGAGACCCCTTTCGGTATTCATTATTTGGAGTCTCTTGTTGAATGCGACTAAATGCAATCTTTCCAATTTAGGACACCATGGAGTACATGTCAAAAGCGGGCATTGTTCTATTCTTAATGACTTCAATTGAGGAAAATATAATTGTGAGTGACACTCATCTCCTGCCTCTACCCTTCTTATCCACCCTTTACACTTATGCAAATTCTTTAGCTCAAGGTGTTCAAGGGATGGAAACAATGATGATACTCTTGTACTTTCTGATGCAAGGATGTAACCAGGCGGTGAGACATCTGCTTCAATGTGCTCCAATTTGTCGAATTGTGAAAGTTTGAGGAATTTAAGATAACTCAAGCTCCCCAAACATGGTAGATAGTCCAATTCCCCACAATTGAAAAGACGAAGATCTACAAGATTTGGTAGAAGGGTTACCCAACTAGGCATCCTTGCACCATGATATCCTCGCACAACTAACTCTTTTAGATTAGAATGTGGCTGCAGCTCTTCCATCAATCTTCTTTCTACATCATTATTTATTCTTCCACTACATTCATCGAGTTTAAAATCAACTTTAACGCGACTGAGATGTTCCTTGTGCCTCAAGTATAACCCTCCCCTCATACTGCTCTCTTGAACACATGTAGCATTATTAGGCCACCTAATGTCAATTTCAAGACGACCCTTCAAATTGTTAAGAGCCGTTAGGTATTCTAGTCTATCAAACCATTGCTTCCAACCTGAACAACTTCCTTCTCCACCCACAATAAACTTATTCAAAGTGCGAAGGTTACTCAACTTATCTATGCCTTTAGGCATAAAAGATAGACTAGAGCAACCATCTATATCCAACGTCTCAAGCTTAACCAAGCTACTCACATCTTTTGGTAACTCTTTTAACTTCTCACACCTAATTAGTAGCAAGGTTTGCAGATTATATAGTTTCGTAATTGACTTAGACAGCAGTTCCAAATCTTTATTATATGAGAGATCTACGTACCTCAAATGCAATAGCTCTCCAATAGAGCTTGGTAAACTCTTAATTGTAGAAAAAGCTAGGTCCAATGCCCTTAAGCATCTGCAATTAGTGACAATTGCTTCTAGTGTAACTTTGTCCATCTCATCAGCATCATGACGCCAGTAGCCAGCATAAAAATATGAGCGAATATGTGTCTTACCAAAGGAGTATTTTGCAAACGAGCTTCCGGCGAGAGACAGATGACGAACGTTTTTATCTAGGTTGCCACTAGCAGCTTTCGTTGTACAAAGCTCCTTCCCTATGACATTTTGAGCAATATCGTGCATGAGATCATGTATCATAAATGAACCAATTTCTCCATTTTCACTTTTTCGTACATTATGGAAAAAACATCTCCGCACCAATATAGATATATATTCCTCGCCTGCTTCTTCTATGCTTTGACCTTTGTCTATTGGAACAATATACCCCTGTGCCATCCAAAGGCGTATCAACCTCTGCTTGTCTATAATACAATTCTTTGGAAACACCGCACAATAACTAAAGCAACACTTTAACGGAGATTCAAGATGATGGTAGCTAAACTTTAACACCGGCATGATATCATTATGGCTCTCTCTAATGTTGCCTAATCCGACATCCCGAAACGATAGCCACTTACTCTTGTCTTGACCATACAAAATACCTCCTGCCACTTTTATAGCAAGGGGTATTTGAGCACATTTTTGAACAATCTCACACCCAATCTTAACCAAATCATTATGAGGGTTTGATTGCTCCGATCCAAAGGCCGACCTTTCAAATAAGCGCCATGAATTCTCATGTGACAAGCCTTGGAGCTTGTGCATCGTGCCATTTCCTATGATTCTTGCTGTTGTTTCAGAACGTGTAGTTGCTACAATCCAACTCCCCCTTTGATCTCCAATCAAGAATTTTGCTAGCTCATTCCACTGTGTACGATTCTCGGTCCATACGTCATCTAAAACGAGTAAGAATCTCTTGCCTGCTAGTTTTTCTCGAAGTTTGTGTTGTACTCGATCCATGGTGGAATCCTGATGATTCTCTCCCAAAATCTTACCAACAATTTCTTTCACATCTAGTTGATTCTGATCATGATCAGAGACACAAGCCCACAACCTTAATGGAAACGCACTTTTGACACTTTCATCGTTATACACGAGTTGAGTAAGAGCAGTTTTGCCCAACCCTCCCATTCCCACAATCGTGAGAAACGACACATCACGTTGAACATCAGAATCAAGCAACATACTAGTGATAATCTCCAAGTCATCTTCCCTCCCAATAATATCTGTTGCATCTACATAAGAACAGGTCTCAGGCCTTCTCTTCCTGATAGGCTCGTGATCAAGCTTAAAGCGAAATTGATCATTGTAAGCAATCGCACCCAACTTCTTCTTGATCTTCTTAACCCCTCGAGACATCTTGAGAGCAATTCCAAGTGGATTGGAATTAGAAAAGAAGTGGCGCGCCTTTTTGGAAAGACTAACATCATCCTCCTTTAGGAGTTGCTTCTGCTCGGCAAGTGTGACAAACTCATCAACTAGATCATCTGCTTCATAAACAACATCCTTGAGCTCTTGAAGCCAAATTTGTGCTTCATGGGAGAGCTCTTGCTTGGATTCTGCATCGAGCAACACGGCCTTGACAGCCTCAACGGTACGTATAAGATCATCGAGGTGAGATTTGTAGCCAAAGAGTGAGAGGGTCTCATTGACCTCCGGACATTGCAATGCTGCAAACAAAGTTTGAGCAACAGAGAGCGTTGTGCCTACAATGTCCATTTCTATGCAAAATGATGAGAAAAGATGGTATGAGTTTTGAGTTTGATCAATAATAATTCATGCTTGGTTCAACCTAAATAGGAGTAAAATGTTATTAGTCCGTACAATAATATGACCCCTTGATTAATCATATCGTTGAAATACTGTAACATTAGCACTTGTTAATATGATTAAAGTATCATCATTATTAAGCCTACTCGTCAACAATAATTTAAGAACAATTTGCTTGTTAAAGTATCATCAGCATTATTAAGCTTACTCATCCTTTCATTAACAACAATTATTTAAGACCAATTTGCTTAATTGTAATCGACATTATTATCTTTTTTTTCTTTAATCATTTAGAGCAGGTCGGTCATAGACTACATATACATATTAGCTAGGTGGAGTCATGTATTGTAATAAGAAGGGTCCTACATGGTCGGAACTCCTAACGGGTCAACCCGCTACAATAATAGTGTAATTAGTAATATATATTAGTACTGTAGTAGTAGTATTATAATCTCGTCTGAATACTGAAAAATTAAAAATACATATACTACGTGCACTAGTATACTACAGAGTAATATATTTCATCCCCTTATTTAATATTGCAATATTTGCAACCATTATTTCTTTAGAAAGTTATACAAATATTGCAACATAAAAGTATTTCATTTCTCCTTCAATTCTATACTAAATATCCATTATATATATAGCAAGCTAAAGAAGAAAAGCATATATAAAAGGAGAAATTTAGGAAGTAGGTGAACATCAATATCAGCTATTTTCAAAGCAAAACAATTTAAAAATTAATCCTAGTGGTTCCACGAACTTGCGTTATTTGTTTGTTCTTCTTCAATTGATGGGGTGGTTGTAGAGATGTAGAATTAAAAATTAAAAATGATGAAATTTGACTATATTACCTAATATCACAAACAAACAATAAAAGTAATTAATGAATGGGAAAGAATCAACTTTAAATAATAATGTAAACTTATAACTATTCACTTTATTCCCGAAAAAAGATTACATTTGGTGGTTTTATACAACTAATAATAAAAAAATTAAAAAAGTAAAAAACAATGATTAGATGTCATATATATCAAGTATTACGATATTAAATTAACTTTGAAAATAGAGATATTTGTATTAGGAGTATGCAAATATTTTTGTAAATAAGAATAATTGCTTTGGAAGTATGTAAATATTAGCTAAATATGATAGTTGCATGAAAAATATGTATATATATGAGGGAAATGTTTTTTTAAAAAAGTAATTTTTTTTAATTTAAGAATAAACTGAAATGTAATCATTAAAAGAGTGTCAAAAAAAAAAAAAAAAAAAACGTCACCCTTGTAATCTTGTATATGACACTATTAGTGATAGCTAGTGATATCATCTACCCTTGTATAGTGTTACCCTAAATGTCCACACACTATTCATAAGAGCTAAAAAAATGAGCAATAAATATGAGGTCAAATAAGTAAATAAACATTTTAAAGGGTATAATCATTTAAACACTATTCATAAGAATTATTTCAAACATTTTAAAAGGTAGGGATAAATGTCCACATTATAATCTTAAGAGTTAAAAAAAGAGACAATTAACATTAATGAAAGCAAATAAATAAACAAACATTTTAATGAGTACAATTGTCCACACTATTTATAAGAGTTATTTCCTTCGTTTTTTAGTTGACATACTTTGACTTGCACAATTCACAAATTAAAATTTGACTAGCTTTTGTAATTTATAGCTACGATAAATCATTGTCATGTAGGATCTAGTTTGAATTGTCTCAATGTGAATTTTATTAAATCTGATTTTTACAGTTTTACAATGTTGAAAAGCTAGGGAAATAATTGATATTACTCGTATAGTCGATTTAGATTACATTAATGGACAAATGGAGTTACTCATAAAAATGAATAAAATGACTCTTATAAACCAGTGTAGCCACACACAAGACTTACGGTTTTTTTTTTTTTTTAATTTTGTTTATCCAAATTCAATTACCCTTATTATTGAAGTCATGTACTCGTACTCCATGGTGTCTTAGGATGGGAAATTTGTATTTAGTCACAATCAAGAAGAGACTCCAAATAATGAATACTTGATCCTGGAATTCATTAAGCATATTTTTATGAATTTCAGGATCAAGTATTCATTAAGAATAAACGAGATGGTTGTTCCCGATTTGTGAAACAATTAGTCAATGACTTGTTCATCAAATATGAAATCCATTCCCTTGTAATAATCTCTAATTCAAGAATATCATTCTTGTGTACAATTTATAATAGCATATTAAAGCCATTAATCAATGTCTAATTTTAAGGGAATTGATATTTGTAGCTTCAATGCAAATTAGATATGAGAAGCAAAAAGTGAAATTTAAGCATAAATGAAACATTTTATTGACACAGTACATATAATTTGTCGTGTAAGGTTGGTTTGTAATTTACAATTCCAAGCAATTTGTAGAGTATTTTAAAATAACTTTTTTGTACATTGGCTATTGGGTATATGAATGTATGATATCCCCTCCATATTTATTTAAGTGAAATGTTTTTTATTTTCAATGTTCGATTCTCAAGTTTTGGAAAACTCATTTTGCACTGTTAACATAATCTATCTATTTTGATTAATGTTTGTAATTTAATATAGTCTTGTAGGAATGGTACTTGTTGGAATTGTCTCAATTAATAGTAATATTTAAGGATATATTTAGTCAAAGTTTTGTATTGACATACGTACAAAGGAGAAACGTTTCACTTAAAAAAAAATACGGAGGAGTATGCACGGTAAGTTTGTAACATAACCATAATTTTATTGTTTTAGTGTAAACTTTAATTAATTTAAGGATGACTTTAAATTGTAATGATTATCTAAGTACATTAGGATATATCACCAAAAAAAAAAAAAAAAGTACATTAGATATGATTTGAAATTGTTTTTTAAAAGTACCTAATCTTCTAAGAGCGAGGGCCTTGGAATAAGGCTTAAGAATGTTAAGACTTACCCTTAACCGAATTGAATAACCGGCTAAGACATCGATTTTTCTAACCATAAATCCTATAAATACATTACTCTTCCCTCACTATTTCATTTACAACACAACCCAAAAAAAAGTACGTAGTAGCAAGAAAATTATGGCTAGCATGAAACTAGTATTCTTTATTGTTGTTGCTCTTTGCTCTTCCTTTCCTCTCCGTCTCCATGCACTCTCTCAACAAATACCGAAAGTGACAATGGTACCGAATTCAATAATTCACCATTTCACAAGTTTTGAGCGGATAATTCCCTCTTTATATTGCGACATGGTGCTAATGTTGCATATCTCTTGCTTTATGTTGATGACATTGCTCTTACAGCTTCCTCAGAACAGTACAACTCAAGTGTGATATTATTGCTCTTCTTAAGTCCGAATTCTCCATGTCTGACTTGGGGAAGTTGAGTTATTTTTTGGAAATCTCTGTAACCCGAACAAAGGACTCCATGGTTCTTTGTCAGAGTAATTATGCAGTGGAAATTATTCACAAGGCTAAGATGGACAGTTGCAAACCGGTTGTTACACCCGTCGACACTAAGTCGAAACTTGGGCCTCACGATGGTGAGCCAATGCAGGTTCCCTCTCTCTACAGGAGCCTTGCAAGGGTGCACTTCAATACCTCACATTCACCAGACCGACATTGCTTATGTCGTTCAACAGGTTTGTCTTTTCATGCATGCTCCTAGGGAACCTCATTTTAACGCTCTTAAGGGTATCATCAGATATATCAAAGGCACTGTTGATCATGGCCTACATTTTTACCATTTTGCTCCACGAGACTTATTTCATACACAGAAACCGATTGGGGCGGCTGCCCGGAAACACGGCGCTCCACTTCAGGGTACTATGTTTATTTGGTTGATAATCTTGTCTCGTGGTCTGCGAAACGACAGACTACTTTGTCCTGATCAAGTGCCAAAGCAGAATATAGAGGTGTCGCTAATGTTGTTGCCGAAATCTGTCGGCTCCGGAATCTACTTCTCGAGCTACATTGTCCTATTCGACGGGCATCCTTGGTTTATTGTGATAATATCTCTGCCGTTTACTTATCTTGCAATCCGATACAACACCAACGTACCAAATACATTGAGATGGATATTCATTTTGTACGTGATAAGGTTGCTCTTGGTAAGATCAAGGTCCTACATGTTCCGTCTTCATAGCAGTACGCAGATATTTTCACTAAAGGTTTACCCCGACAACTTTTTTTAGACTTCAGAGACAGTCTCAACGTTCGTCCTCCTCCCGCTTTGACTGCGGGGGTGTGATAGATAATAGGTTTATATTATCTTGTCAATATTCTGTAAAGATATATTTTGTGTAATTTAGGTACCTCATGATTAGGTTGTAAATACCTATATATATTGAATGAATGATAAGCCTCCACTCAAGGAGAATTACACTATTCTACGGATATTCGATATCCGACATCGGTAACTTGATACGTGAATCCCCATTGGAGAACATACAACCTTTGCAAGACTTCCTTACTGACAAACTTACTTCCATAAGCCTACTGGTCGTTGCGCTAATGGTCTTCTCATGATCGACTTTTTTGGTATGTCACCTTGTTAATAGAATTACTAATCACCTTTTATGTTTATTAATAATCTTTAACATTTAATTTCTCTGTTGTTCCAATATAATTAATTGAACCAATTTAACTTTTGCATTATTTATATTAACTTTGACAATATATTTTAAAGAAAATATGTAAACAAATAAATATTATTAAATTTATAAAAATGGTCAAAATTATGTGTTCATTTGACACGTATAATAGTATGATTGTTACATAGTACTCTCTCCGTTTTTTTTTATAAGTTAGAGTTGAGATTTTTCACTATTCATATGTCATCATTAACTTAATTTTTTTACCAATATATAATATATAAATATGATCATATAATATGTTGTTGGATTTGTCATAATGTCTACTTTTATAAATTAATTTTTTCATAATTTTTGCTAATCTCTCATTAAAAATATTGATGGTCAAAATTTTATCTCGATAAATGTGCAAATTTGACTCAAGCTTATAAAAAATAGAGAGAGTACTATATCATTTAATCGCATTGATGAGGTAATATTACTTGACAATCTATTACTATAGTGATGCTAATATAAAGCCGATACGAATTATATTATTTCAACGAATTGATTCGTGTGACAAAATATTACAAAGAATCTATTACCTACAAATCACTAAAAACCAATTTATAAATATATGTATCACTAATAAATTTTCTTTATTGTATAAATTGCCGAAGATACTTGAATTTGCCCTTTCTTGATGCATATCTTAATGAAGCCGGTAATTTCACTCATGGTGTAAACTTTGCTGTTGCGGGATCGACGGCTCTGGACACTTCAACCTTAGCTGCTAATAACATTACATCGTGATGCGAATCAAGAAGCTAATTCTTTTGAAAGATCTAATGTACTTTTAGATGGTCTAAACAACTCCATTATAGGCTGCCCAAACAAGGAAATAATCAAGGAAAGGTTCAATAGCTTAAATTGGAAAGAAAGAAGCATGATTTCCAAGAACGAAGAAGTTGCGCAGTTCACTTCCGGCGACGATACAGGCGGCCACGCGCCGAGATGGTTCCCACGCGCCTGCCTTCCGGCACCGGACTGAGCCAAGCTACAAGGTAATTATACTTCCCAAGTTCCCATCCCATATAAAATTCTTCGTGTTTTTGTAAGCTGTACATTATAACCATTGACTTTGTATATTTGTTTTACGCTTCATTTTGGTCATAATATTTTTACTAATAATATAAAATATAAAAAATAAAATCGTGCAAACTATTACTCCGTACTGAATTTCAATTAAAGAAAAAATTTACATTAAATTATTTAAATATATTATTGAAATAATAATCAAGAATTTCTATTTTTTATAATTAAAATAATGATAAAGACTATAATTTTATTTTTTTTGGAAAAAATAATATAGTTAATCTTTTTTATTCTTATATATATAAGCAGATTGTAACAGCAAACTCGCAAAGGCATTATTTATCATTGAAACCGGAGGCAACGACTTTAACTACGCGTTTTTCGGACGAAAATCGATGGACGAAGTGCAGCAAATGGTGGATGAAGTTGTTCAAGCCATAACTAGTGCCGTGAAGGTTGGTCTCTTTTCTAATTTATGTCTATCGATGTTAATTATTCACAATATATGTAACATATAAACGATTTACTAGTTAATTAACTACTATGGATGCTACTGCAGGACGTGATTAATTTAGGTGCTACTGCAGTGGTAGTTCCTGGTAACTTTGCAATTGGCTGCATGCCGATTTATCTGAGTGCTTTTAACGCATTGAAAGGACTCCTTCAAAATGCTGCTTCAAATGGTTAGTTTATTGCCAATTTATATAATGTATGATCTTGAAATCAATCATTTATCCTCTTGTTTTAATTATGATACTAATACATAATAATTATTCTTATGCAGGATTTGCCAAGAGTGAAGTGCAAAAAACATGCTGTGGAATCGGTAATAATGATTACAATTTTAACATAACTCGAATGTGTGGCAACAATGGAGTTCCTGTTTGCCACGATCCATCTAAGCTAGTGAGTTGGGACGGAGTCCACATGACTCAGCATGCCTACAGAGTTATGGCTAAGGGGTTATTCAAGCAGATCGATCGTTCAAGGCATCTCCAATCAAGTTTAATTTCTTTTAGTGCGAGTTAATTATACTACCTTGCAGCTATATTTTTATGTATTGTAGATTCATTTTAACTTTGATGATAAACATTCTTAGAGTATATTGTTGAAGTATTTCTAGTTCCTGAATTTTTTACATGACAGTTTTTAAGGCAACACAGAGTAAATTTGTTTTCTTAAAAGTTTTTTCATTAAATTAATGTGGTTAGCTACGGTAAACAAATATTCCCTGATCATGAAAAAAAAAAAAAATGAGTTCCAAAATTAGCGGGTCATTAGAGATTTTAATAATTTAACGACATCATAAAGTATCAATCAATAGAATAAAAAATACTTTTGTGGTCTGAGTACCTCAATGTACAGCGTATCTAAAGACATTAGAATAAACACCAACATTACCCTCATATACCTGAGAGATTGTTGGATTATCTTTCCAACGGTCAACTTTGGATCATAACAATTAGCTTCGGCTTCCTGGGCAGCCAAGTCTAGAAAAAGTTGATACATTCAATAAAAACATCAACTGATGAGACAAGTAAGTCGACATAAAAATCTTATACAGCATTTGATAGCAAAGTAAAATCAAAACTGCCTGATGGGGATACAACAAGTCTGGTTATGTATGAAGAACAAAAAACTCCTAATTACGTTGAAAAGATTATTTATCAAGTTCATCCATGCACAAAGTATATATAGGCATCGCGTCTACACAGGAAAGAGTCAAGAGATATGATAGTTGCAGTTGTCACTTGACTTGAACAAAATTTAACTTTCTCACTTCTTACGTGCCACAGCTGCAGCAATTCCTCCAACAAGAAGTCCCACTGCAGTAGCTGTTATGCCAATCCCAATAACACCGTCTGTATTTGATAGCGATAGACAGCAATAAGAAAATAGCTTCATGTGAGTTATGAGTTATGAAAAGCAACTCTTCTGAAATTGATTAGATGATTAAAATTCGCATTTCTTACCTCTGGCAATTCGATCTTCCACATTTTTCTTCAAGGTTAATGCTTGCCTCCAGTCAGGTGCAATCTGCAGAATCAAAATATCAATTTATGCCATTAATAGGACACAGGTGCAAGCAGATAGAATCCATTTTTATTAATTAAAATACAAATCTAAGTCCTTTTTTTAATCATTATAAATAATCATAAATCATTTTTAAAGTGTTTTCCCAATAATACATCATAATTAAGCAATTCTAAACAAGAAACATCACCGTTAAGCAAAAACAGGCAATGTCAGCCAGATAAGTGGATATGGCATGCAATTAAATCACAAATGAAATAAGCTCATTGTTGTCTCAAATTATTCTGTCATCCTATACATCAATAAAAAGACCTTTCCCAGGAAAGGAAAATTTGTAACTTCTGCAGTAACTACAGATGATCAGGAATTATAACCTTGAGAACAACCACAACAACCAGATTGCCATTCTATCAAACCACTCTACAATAAAGAACCAGAAAGGTTACCTCAAGACACTGTTCCACAAGTTGCCTGCTTCTTGCAAAATCACCACTTCTGTAGTATCCCACACCGAGCAGATAAATCTTCTCTCTCCTTTCAAGTGGACCGCTGCTTGTATTAGCTAGTGATGCTGCCAAAATGCCAGGACACAACTTTTATTTCTACGTAGCAGTTCAATTTGGGAGATGGGGGGAAGGAGCCTTAATACCAAGGAATGAAATTTTCATATCAGCCCATCTGTACCACTATGTTTGGATAACAATAGTGAAGGGAAAGGGAGGGGAAGGAAATAGAGGGAAGGGAAAGGGAGGTGAGTGAGGGGAGGGGGAAGGAGAACATCCATTTTCCTTCCAAATCTTTCCAACAGTGGAGGGATTAAGTTTATTAAAAGAGAAGGAATATGGATCTTTCCAATTCTCTCCCCTTCCTTCCTTGCATTAGGTATCCAAACAAAGGATGATGCATCCTTCCCTTTCTCTTCTCTTCCCTTCCCTCCATTTCTCTCTATCCAAATATAGTGTTAGACCCTAACTTGTGACACTAATTACAGACCAGATGATAAATCTCATTAAGTTATATGTTCAGAGGGGTTTGCTAATGCATTCAATAAAGAGAAAAATGTATGAAAATGACCAATGTACAGAAAATAAATCTAAGAGATATGTTAACGTTTGAAAAACTGATACATGAAATAGCCTACAGTTCAGAGTACAGTCTAGATGCAAGAGCATATTACAAAAGTAACGGCGGTTCCAGTAAATTAGGGTGGGTAGGTAGAGCATAGATAAAAGCAATGCAACCTTAGCATATTATTAGAAAGCTAGCCTAAGAACTGCTGCAAAATTATCAATGAAAAGATTTTAAATATAAGAATTATCAAACATTAAAAGTATGACATAAGAAGAACCATCCATAGTTGAAAAGGTGACCACATTTACCTTCAACCATAGCTATCCCTCGCTGCACATCCTCAGCACGCCTAGAATGGACAAGAGCCCATGATAGCCTCATCAGACATTCACTTCTCTGTTCATCACTGGAATTAGCAGCTTCAGCAACCTCTCGCTCAAGTCCCTGAAGTTAGATACAAATAATTATCAGCTATCATATCCAACTCTCCCTCTGCTGTTTGGGGAAGGAGGGATCAGTTCTTAGAAAAATGATATGCATTATATATATATACATGAGAAATAGGATCAAGACACACGAAGGGGGAAAAAAAGAGTATGAGAATCAGACAAAAAAGACGCACAAAAGGAAAGGAAAAGACAAATAAGGTTTAAAGAAACAGAACACCCACAAAATAACATAACCATGCGTTACTTCATTGTAATGCTAAAGATTCAATAATCCTACTCAAGATTACATATCAAAACGCTCCATCAATATAGACGTAATCACATAAAGCTGAACAAAACCTCCAATCTCACGCAATTCATCAGAACATGAGCATGATTGGACAAACCAAACATCGATCCAATTTCACCATACTTTTCCAGATTATCACTGAAGCAAGCAGATGCCACTTCCCAGTCCGAAATCGCACAACAAAACCGCAAACAGTCCTTGGCTAATCAAAGTGGAATTGGACAGAAATGCTAATACAACATGCAATAGCTTAAAATTACTAAAAAATATACAGAGTATCCAAACAATTCCAAAATAAAGGCGTGGTAGCGAAGATTTTCAAGATTTTCAAGATTTTCCTATTCCTATCACAGAAATTTCACCTTAGTTCCAGACATATATTAAGAAATCCATCTGATATTTATCAGCTATAATAACTGTATGAAAGACATTGAAAAATTTATTCATAGCAAAAACAAGCTCATCAAATCACAACATTCAAATGAACAATTGCAATTTCCTCAAAAATCAATTATCAAATAAAAACTACAACGAAAAAAGCGAAATCTAACAAAGAATAATCAAAATGATGTCCAAACATAAAATAAAGCAGCAAAATGTTGCGTAAATTGCAGAAAATTGCAAAACAAATTACAGAAATCAAAATGAAAAAAAAATAAAATTGAAACAAAAGAACCCTATATTAATCAAACCACAAATGAAAGAAAAGAAAGCTTACAGAAATAGTGTCAGGATCACACCAAGGAATTTGATCGCCGCCGCCGAAGAAATTTCCGACGGATTCAAAGAATTTTCCGATTTTCGCATCCATTTATTTTGCCCTAAAATTTGAAATTTGTTGCGTTTTGATGAGAGAGAAAGAGGGGAAAATTGTAAAGGGTTGGATTAAATACGTTGAAATGACAAAATAACAAAATGCCAAGGCTTTTATATTGGTTTTTTAATTTCGTTTTGATTTTTTTAATGAAGTATTGCGTATACGCTTTTGGGGTATTTCCTCGCTTTAAAGATGATAGTGGAAATAAAAGACGCAATTAAGTAATTGACTCATTTGTTTTTGTAAAAAAAAACAAGTAATTATAGTTTATAGCCTCATGACCTTATTTTAATTACAGGTTTTCTATTGGATGAATCTTGTGAAAAATGTCTAACACTAATTCCATTTTTGTTTAATCTAACTGAATTATTAAGAATAAGAAAATGCTTAAATTTAAATAGGGCTATTTAGAGTGCGGTTTGGACAGCACTAAACCGCAAACCAAACCGTAATTTTGCAGTTTGGTGCGGTTTGCGATTTGAAAATTGCGGTGCGGTTTTCGAAAATGAGCAAACTGCACTTTTGCAATTTGGTGCGATATACTAAACATTTTAGACCAAACCGCACTTTGATGCGGTTTGCAGTTTGGACTTTGGACCGTCAAACCGCAAACCGCAAACCGCAAACCGTTATACCAATTTTATAATATTTCTATTTAAAAAGTATATAAAATAGCTTAGAAATATGATATTTTTTTACTATTAGCTAATTAAAAGTTAAAAAAAAAAAAGAGTTTAATGTTTAAATTATAAATTAATAATCATAAAATAAAATAAAAAGTCTTTTTTTAAAAAAATATTTATAATTTTTAAAAAAATGTGGCTAAACAGCAAACTATATCGCACCAAACCGCAATTTGCGGTGCGGTTTGGAAATAATGCAAACCGCAATTTTGCAGTTTGGTGCGGTTTCCCCAAAATTTAAAGTCAATCTGCTTAAACACACTGATTTGATATGACCTTATGATGTTATGACCCAATCGGCAAGTTTCAATTCACACAGTAAACTTGTTTCTCATTTGTTATCCTTTTTCCTTTTTTAGTTTTTATTTTTAATTGTGTAAAATTTAAAAAGTATTCCTTGTACAATAATTAGTAATATAATACAATTTTTAATTCTAATTTTCAAAATTAGCATAACAATTATGCAACATAAGTGTAACTAATGTTGAGCTAAATCGTCTTCCTTATTTTGGCCTAGTTTAGTAATTAGTTGGTAGTTAGTTGTATTAATTGATTTGACTAGTTGATTGAATTAGAGGATTTAACTAACTTTTAAAACAATCTAATTTACCATACACCAAAATAGCTTATTGCAATAATAGCTCAAACGGCTCACAAAAGGCTAGGTTATTGAACTCTAATGATTATGTTGTTATTATGGTATCAGAAAATATCTACTGTACCCTTTCAATACAAAATTTGATACACAGGCTGATATAGTGATAAGTGTTATACCATTGCAGCATTTTGACAATGATCATTCAATCATACCCAATTTCAAGTTTAACCACCTAGACTTATGTCTTTGTCTCGGAGGAAATCCTTAAACAGAAGCTTAAATCAAAGGAATAATTAAGAGCAGCACCAACATATGACAGAAACCTTCTCATATTCTTAGAACATTCTCCCCAAGATGAAGATGAGCCAACAAATGAGCAACACGAATGTGTAACAAATGTATGGTCTACCATTATGCAGAGCTTTTCGGGACTTTTAGGTTTGTGAGAGCTAATCTACACGGGTAATTAGTTTATCACCTATCATCAAGATCCAATAAATCGACAAAGAAAAACACCATAATCTGATCTTTTATTCTGAGAACTGTCAAAACTTCAACTTCAACATTTTACCTTAATCTACTCTGTCTAATACACCAAAGGCGTAAGCAGGAACTTTTTATTGCTGGTTATATGCATATAATGAAGTTGAAGTACAAGGCATCAGCTGCATCACCAATTTCATTTGGAATCCCCAACTTTTCCCATCCTCAAATAAACAGGAAACTTGACAACTTTCTCGTTCTTCCCATCATTCATCCAAGCATGCTTGAGTCGCTCCACCTGCTCATCCGTCAGCATCTCCACCCCTTTCTCCTTAGCAGCATTGTAGGCCGACCATGACCTTATGTATGCAAAATAGTCCTCCAAGCTCATCACCTTCTCGTTCTTGAACTCAAACGGACCAGTATCTGCCAATCCATCAACAGGCTCGAATGGGAAATGAATGCTCCGGTACTTGTCATCTACAGCCTTTGTCGTCTCCTCCCATCCAGGACCGGAAAATCCCTTGTAGAACGGCCAGAAGACAGCATCCACCTCCTCATTCACCAAAGGTGTAGTGTAGCACCATGCTGCAATGATCCCATTAGGCTTCTTCAGAGCCCATCTCACAACCTCGTAGAACTTGGAGAGGTCGAACCAGTGCATTGCTTGGGCTACGGTTATTAAGTCAACGCTGGATTCGGGTGCTATCATTTGCTCAACATCATTTACGGATAGAATTTGAGGCGTCTGAATGTACTTGACATTGGGGAGTTCTGGTGCACACTCTAGCTGTGTCGCGCTAATGTCTGTGCCCACCACATTCTTATACAGTTCAGCTAGCTGAAAATCAAATATGTTTTAGAACTTTATTTTCAACTTGAGAAACCATTAAACATGTTTATATGATACGATTCTTGGTTTGTACTATGAAACATAAGTATTGCAGATAAATTACTAAAATTGGTTAGCAGAAATTAATTAATGACAAATCTAAACTTGGAAGAAACTAATCCCAAAATCAATCTGATTAAATGGGTAGATCTCGGCATCTCGCTTAATACCCAAAGACATCTCGTCTTTGAAATCAACTATAATTAGTCTAGAGAAATTATTTTCCCAAATTACTCTGTATTGATCACATTAATTAAAGAAAATAATCACAAAATTGATAGAACAAATATAAACTTGGGTTGAAAATAGACCCAAAACCAATCCACAATAAATAATTAATAAATGATCAAAAGTGTGGATCCCAAATTCCCAATCTTTCGAAAAAAAAATGTGTAATAAATATGAAGACTTAAGATCAAATTCCGTCTATAAAATAAAAAAAAATGAAAGGGATAGAACATACGAAAGGAATGGCCTGGCCAGTGCCAGTGCCGACATCCCAAGCAAGAAGATGGGAAGGAGTGTGAGAGGCGATGAAATGAAAGAGTTGAGGTGGGTAAGAAGGTCTACCACCTGAGTATAGCTTTGCATTGTAGCTTGGCTTTGCCAATTCGCCACTCCCTGCCATTTATTTCTTCTCTTCTTTCTCTATCTACTTTAGTATAACGTTGTTTGTGTCTAAAAGTTACACATTCATCGGTATTATATTATCGTCATGAGCCGCCGCCTACTTTACCAAATTTTGTGGCTCCCCTTCAATTTTTGTATTCAATGTTGTAAATTCTAGTTTTTATCAATTTTTTCATGGAAAATGTATTTTAAATAAATATTACAATAAAGTTTTATGTGTTAAAAGATGACTTTCTAATTATAGGATGATATTGTATATTTATAAAGATGGAGATAGAAGAGAGCAAAAGAACAATTAAAAGAGTCGGTTGTTATTTTCTTCTTACTCCCATAGTTCACAAGATAGTAAACTTATTTATGGGCAAATATTGTCATTAAAATATTTTACATGATTGTACTTTTATACAAATTATTGTCCATAATATGTTCATGTGATGAGCTACAAGTTATCTTGCTACAAGTTCATGTGAACTTCATCTTGGCATTTTCTCAACACTCCCTCTTGAAGTTCGCATGAAATGGGGTATAAGTTGCCTTAAAGAACAATATTATATGCTTTGATATACTGCCTCGTTAAAAACCTTGTCAGGAAAAAACCCAGTGGGATAAAAACCTGATCGAAGGGAAAAAGAGTGCAGTGCATATAATACTCCCCCTGATTTCAACATAGTTCACATAGATGACGCATTCCAATTCTATGAACTAATTGCTCAAATTTCTTAGAAGGAAGTGATTTGGTGAACAGGTCGACAAGGTTGTCACAAGACTGAATTTGCTGGATATCTATTTCCTCATCCTTTTGCAGATCATGTGTGAAGAATAGTTTTGAAGATATATGTTTTGTTCTATCTCCCTTAATGTATCCTTCAGTTACTTGAGAAATGCATGATGTATCGTTTTCAAATATGGTAGTTGGATTTTTTGTTACTGCTTTCATTCCACAACCTTTTTGGATATTACTAATCATCGACCTCAGCCATACACATTCTCGTCCTGCTTCATAAAGGGCTATCAACTCTGCATGATTTGAGGATGTCGCGGTCAATGTCTGTTTTGTTGATTTCTTCCATGATATTGCTATGCCGCCATAAGTGAACAAATATCCATTTTATGACTTGCATTTTGAGGATCCGATAAGTATCCAACGTCTGCATACCCAATGAGAGCAGCATCTTATTTCGGTTCATAATATAAACTAAGGTCTTGAGTCCCTCATAGGTACCGAAGTAAGTGTCGGACTCCTTTCCAATGACTGTATGTCGCGCGGGGCATTGTTGTACCTGGATAACAAGTTCACAGAGAAAGCTATGTCGGGTCTAGTGTTGTTAGCTAAGTACATTAAGGCTCCAATTGCACTTAAGTATGGTACTTCTGGACCCAGAATTTCTTCATTTTCTTCTCGGGGCCTGAATGGATCGTTTTTCATATTCAAAGAACGAACAACCATTGGGAAGTTGATTGGGGTTGCTTTGTCCATGAAAAATATTTTCAAAACTCTTTCTGTATAGTTTGATTGATGGACAAAAATACCATGACTCAAATGCTCAATTTGCAATATAAGGCAAAATTTAGTTTTTCCAAGGTCTTTCATCTCAAATTCTTTCATCAAGTATTTTGCAGTTTTCTCAAGTTCATTTGGGGTTCCGATGATATTCAACTCATCAACATAAACTGCAATAATAGTGAATCTAGATTGTGATCGCTTTATGAAAACACAAGGACTAATTTGGTTGTTCTTGAACCCTTCTCTCATAAGGTATTCACTGAGACGGTTATACCACATCCTTCCAGATTGTTTCAATC